TGTTTTATAACAATCAATTCATACTCGAATATGGTGGATTGAATGTTTGACTTTTACTCTTATGCGTGTGCGGTCATTTTTGTATGAATGCGGTAAATTGCGGTGAATTCTAATATTAAAGAATCCAAATGACGAAATTTTAACCGCATTGCCTTTAAATTTAACCACACACTACTCAGTAACCGCATTTACATTAAATTTTTCCGCAAATTTTTTTGTGTGTAACGGAATCTCTTGCTTTAGAATGTTTTATGTGGTGACGCTGCTTTTTGTTTTTGCATTTCACAGACCATCGTCATTAAAACAGTATTCAAACAGTAATCAGAAGCATTTGAAAAAGACAAATTCAATATTTGTCGAGGATGAATTCTTCGGCGACCGTCAAAATGACAACAACAATAAGAAACATTTACCAACAATTGTGATGCAACCATACCAACAACAATCGAAATCAAGTTCGTTCTTACTTTCTGCCGATCGAAGTAATCAAGCAAGCAATTTAGACATACCGTCACGCGATGACGAAGATAATAAAAGCCAACATTCCGCTCGAACAATGTCGTCCTCACGACGCCAAAGTACTGAGGACAGCATCGATACGGATGATGAATACTTCTGCTATGAATTGAGAAAGCTTGAAGAAATGGAACGTCGCAGTCAGTTGGAGAGCTCGAATTTGAGTAGTAACGTCAACGAGGATATACAACAATCGTTACTCTCAAAAATTGACGCATTAAATACAGGCACCGACATTTGGTACGGCATCATTTGGTTTAACTAAAATTTGGCACCTAAATGCTGATTGGTGAAAAAACATGCATAATCTTTTATTAAAAAAATAAATAATCGTTCGTTTGATATGTGTGATAGCAGTTTTTCTAAATGTACAATTAATACTGTATTGTGAAAGTTTTTGCATGTTTCATCACCGAATATTTAAAAAAAAACTTCGCATATCCATCTTATTTTCGTGGTCCACCATAAATATGAAATATTTAAGCACTTTTTATTTCATCACCAAATTAAAATATATTCATTTGATTTGCAGTAATGTAGGTATCACTGAGTATAACCAAGGTGGTGATGATGATATGATGCTTATGTATTACAATACCGAGGCCGATAAGTATCAGCCGGATGAAGAAGTAAAAGTAAAAATGTCATTTGTGCTAAGTGAATTGAAATTATTGGTACAATCTGGTGAACATAAAAACGATCGTGGAAATGCATATCAGAATTTTGGTCGTGTAATTGACTCTTCGTGGCAGCACCAGCCGCAAACAAAGCCACAAATTAAAGAAAAATCTGAACAAAATTTGACTAGACGTAAGTATAACGTTTAAATAATAAAAATGTTATTCGCTGATATGTGCAAAAACAAATTAAGTGATCTTTGTTGTTACAAAGAACAGTGTTTTAGTTTTATTTTTTTTCATACCCATGAGATAAGATAATTCAGTGGATCAAAAAATAACTTTCAGATATTCAAGCGGTCAATAGAATGAAGACCAATCGTGGACAGCTCGATAAAACAAATACATCTGAGGAATTTGATAATGATTTCATGAATGAACTGAATCAATTTGAATTTGAAATTAACAATGAACGACAACGAAGACATTCACAACAACGAAATCAATACAATGGCGATCAAAGTGGTCGTTCAAATGGAGCAATAACCGGAAAAAAGGTGATGCGAAAAAAACGACACACCAAACAAAGAACTGATGAAGATAACGTTCGCAAAGGTCACTTTCGTGCAAGTAATAAATCAATAAAAACCAAAAAAGATGAACCCAAAGACGAATACTCATCGAGTCCATACTCATCCGAAGTTGAAACATCGGAACCGGAGAGTCTTGATGAGGATGATATCCAGTCTAATGAAATCGATAAATCATTACAGCAACAACAATACCAACCAGAAACATTTGACGCTAATTCAAAAAACGGGCATTTCGTTGAGGCCACCAAAATGTTGGTTAAATCGGAGCAGTATAGCCAACAAAATAAACAACGATATTATCCAATCAACGAACAATTTGACGAAGGGATTAGCAATGATGGTGGCCGCATTGTGAGTGATATCGATGCAAATTTTGATGCTCCTAGACAAGATATGTTTGACGCGGAAAAAAGTTCAATACAAAATGTTGACACAGAAATTGGTTCACCACCAACTACCGAACAAACAACAACAACATTCCATAAAGGAGAGAGTTTAACAAGCGAAATGAGCACAGACGCGATTTACGATGATACATCGATCGCAAAAGAGCACCAAAGATCAATTGAATCAAACAGCAGCGAAACATCAACATTCAAATCGAAATTGAACAAAGTGCTAAGCCATGAATCTAGCCAAGACAGTACAAATGGCGGTTTCGGCAGTAGTAAATGGAAATTGTTAAAAACACTTAAAGAAAAGCGGATTGAAGAGAAAAACAATCAAGAAAAGATTAAAGAAGAAGAGAGTGCGAACAAGAATAAGAGTAGTGTAAGTAGAGGCGTTACAAATACGTCCATACAATTTTGTTGTCAGATTTTATTTTCGATCTCTAATTCTTTCTCTTATATTTTATAGCCACTAAGTTTTCAATTTCACCGAATCTTTGACCGAAACGCGCGTCAAGCAAAACACACGTAAAAATACGTTGCATACAAAAAAAAAAACATAACGCTCAATCAAAATTAAAATTTAACACACAACCACATTATACATATATTTATATAAACAGATTTACACCCCCACAGTCCTTACCACCGACTCTTTATCGACACAACTTAAACACGAACATACATTTTTCTGTTCGAGTTTCGATACAATAACGAATATACGAAAATAGAAAACCGAACACATAAATCGCGAATGTATAAAATTTGACAATTTGTTTGATACAATAAAAATGCCACATTCTGACCATGGAACAATGTAATTTTGAAATGCATTTATATTAATCTTTAATCATCATAAGAACTGTGAACATGCCATCCTCTATTGTTGTAGCCGAAATAAAAAGTATTATATAAAAAAAAATCTCAAAATTGGCCTCGCGTAGCATATTGATCTCACAAAATTGTTGAGTTGTTTCATTTTCGGAAACATCAATCAAAAATATAAGATAAAAAATCATTTCGATAGATAGATTGTAATTGCAGCGCAGCCATTTTTGCAGTTTAGCGAAAAAAAATTAAATTATAACCTTTATTATTATGTTTGCCAAGTATTTGCATCTCTCGTATTCTAACCTTCTATGTGTGAGCATTCAGTGAATGCTGCCATGGTATTAGGCTGTTTATGTTTTTGGTGATCATTTGCTTTCATGGCAAATATTAATTTATATGATCGCAGTTTGGCAGCCATCAATTACACATTATTTAATTGCAGTATGTGGTTTTTGTCGCATTTTATTTGACTTATTTTCTTCTTTCGTTTATTAAGTTATGGTTTTGCCCCTCATTGCATATTTGAAAATAAATTTTTTGCATAGTATTTCATTTTGATTGAGGATAATCCTTTCCGCTGAACACTACAAGGCTATTGTCCTCAATTATCATGGAATGAATAAAAAAAAACATTTGATACATTTTACAATCGAATCAATTACATTGAAATTATATTTTTAGAATGGAACTGGCGCAAGTGATTCAACTGGTCGCGGTACTGGACATCCTAGCGATAATCCATTTTACAGTAATATCGACAGTATGCCTGATATTCGACCAAGAAGAAAATCTATTCCCCTTGTATCAGAACTGGTAAGCTAAATCAAATTACTCCGGTGTTCGTTAGCATGGATTTATAGTCATTTTTTATTTATGTTCGGATAAAATTTTTGAATTCATACAACGTATTGCAAAAGAAGCAATAATCATTTTACTTGAAACAAACAACGTATTGTGTAGTTAAAATAATTGTCGTTTTTTTGTAAATGACAAAAACTAACTCTAAAATTAGCCCAAAAATACTCGATTTACTTTATATTGCTTGATGTATCAGCAAACCGAAAAAATTGTTTCATAACAAGGTATCATCCATCAATTTGAAACCTGTTATTTCGGATTCTTGACGTCAATCCACAGATTGTATATTTTTCTTTTTGGAAAATTCGTCGAGGAAAATTAGTTTTCTTTAGTAATGCGGTTTTTTCTAAGAATTTGTAGCTAAACTGAAGACAACTTTAAGTACACTAGGGTGTCCGATTGAATTGAGTTTTAGACATCAGCACTAAAAATACAAACCAATAATGAAAATAAATATTTTTGTGAAAATAATCTTCAGCTAAAATTTGTTTGTTAGCTCCTACAATGCGAATAGATTTTTTGTGTCCAAGAATGAAATTGCAATCATTATTTTCATTTTTGAGAGCAGCAAACAAAAATAAAGTATTAAACAACATCATTTTTACTTACATTCAATGGGATGTAGTACTCCTGCTTGCGCTAACTAGGCCACAACACTCACGACTAGCGGTAATGTAACATTATGTTACTATATTAATTTTTGAATTAATTTGATGAAAATGATCGATGGTCGATGTTTAATAGGGTGGAACATTTTTTTGAATTTCGAGGCATATCTTGATAGGCCACTTGAGAAAACATGTCTTATAGTCCCCAGCAGTGTTTTTTTTAGATCATTTTTTTTATCTAGATCAGATTTGAGATCAAAATCTTAGATTTTTGATCTCTGTGTATCTAAGCTTTTATATTTATCTCAGATCGAGATAAATCTAGATTAATCTCATATCTGATCTGAAATATACTTTTAAATTTAAGTCCAAATGGGACTTGGGTAAACAGGTAAACAGCCCTTGTGGAAAATTACTGACTGGCTTTTTTTGGGACGTTTTCACATTAAACCGACTGAGATCGAAGTCATTTTAAGTTGATTTATTTGACTTTATTAGACTATATTAATATAGCGTGTAACGTCCCACGGAACCAAAAATTTGGGAATACACTGAAATTATGGTCTATGTTTGGTTGCAGCAACTCAAATCGCCGTGAAAACTTGTGAATATTATTTTCTTATCAATATAAATAATCTCACAAAGTTTAAAGAAATTTCAATCAAAAATATAGCTCAATGGCTAACCGAAAATTTTGTATGGGAGGTATCCCTAATATGCATTGAAATTTCTTTAAACTCTCAGAATGTAATTTTCTTGTGGAAAAAACAACCTGTGTAAAGTTTCATGTCATTACGCTACCACAAGGCATGACTCCTATACAAAAATATTTTTTTTGTGAATTTTTGTATGAAAAAGTCTGTGAAAAATTGATTTCATCTTAAAACTAACGTCATATTCGGCCCGAATCAGAAAAGAATGCTTTTGAGTGTTAAGCTTGTAAATCTTAGATATCTCTCGTTAGATACAGATTTTTGTATCCAGATCCCGATAGATTAGATTTATTATACCTTTTTTCTATTGATCTAAGATCAGATTTAGATTCGATCTATCTAGAAATCTATCTAAAAAATCTCAAGATTTTTAATCTACTCGAAACACTGGTCCCCACTCACAGAAAAAAATCCGGATATTTTGAACCCAGAAATCGGTTTAAATCACAGCGGAATGATTTCTGGGTTTAAATTAACCGAAAAACCGAAAAATCGGATAAGACTTAAATTTGAGACTTTCAGTGAGACTTGAATCTGTATTTCAGCGTTCACTAAACATGAAAACTGGAAAAATCTTCAAATCGATTTTTCTCGCTTTTCCGATGGGAAATCGAGAAAAATAACGGAAATTTAAAGTAAACGGGATGACATGAGCTGGAAGTCGGTCTTGACCCATTTTGGGTCAGGTCGGATCCACCTACTCCACAAGATCCACTACTCATAATATCATCCCGTTCACTTCTCATAATATTCCCATATGATATCGTATGATAGTGAGCGAGGAGAAATTATCTGGACATGAATCTTGTGGAATAGGTGGATCTGACCTGACCCAAAATGTTCTAGAAGTTGAGCACTCGTGGTCCATTCTCTTTATAGGGCCCCAATGGGGGTACCAAATTTTCGTTATTTTTCTCGATTTCCCATCGGAAAAGCGAGAAAAATCGATTTGAAGATTTTTCCAGTTTTCTTTATATAAATAAACTGTGAGAGAAATGCGTAAAATGATAGTTGAACGTTGAAATACAGATTCAAGTCTCATTGAAAGTCTCAAATTTAAGTGTTATCCGGTTTTTCGGATTTTCGGATCTTTTGAACCCAGAAATCATTCCGCTGTGATTTAAACCGATTTCTGGGTTTGAAATATCCGGAAATTTTTCTGTGAGCAGATTCAAGATATGAAGGAATTTTCAACTTGCGGTTCCATATAAGACAGCGACTTGAAAGGAAAGGATTTACATTTTACTGGAAAATCATGAAAATTTGCAGTGACCCAATCACCATGAAAACTTGTGAATCTTATTTTCTGACCAAAATAAGTAATATCATCAAGTTTCATGAAATTTCAACCAAAAATAAAGGTGCCTCCCATACAAAAATTTTATTTTTTTCTCAAAAACAAAAAATCGAAAGTTTTGTATAGGAGGCACCTTTATTTTTGGTTGAAATTTCATGAAACTTGGTGATATTACTTATTTTGGTCAGAAAATAAGATACACAAGTTTTCATGGTGATTGGGTCACTGCAAATTTTCATGATTTTCCAGTAAAATGTACCTCCTTTCCTTTCAAGTCGCTGTCTTATATGGAATCGCAAGTTGAAAATTTCTTCATATCTTGAATCTGGGGACTATAAGACATGTTTTCTGAAATGGCCATAAAATTGTGCCAAAAATGTTCCACCCTAATGTTTAATGCTGGTTATCAGGTGGTGAGTTCCAAGGTACATGTTGCAGAAGAGCTTCATTGATTGGAATGTTAAACAGCTTAAAAATCCCTTAAAAGTAATCAAACAAATACAAATTAATTAATATGCAAAGAAATACGTTGTTTCATGGTACAATTTAAATTCATACGTACCTTTAATCAAAATGCACTTAGCGGCAACGATATCGCGGTCCCACACAGTCTTCCGTACTCTTGGTTGTTGATACCATCCACTCTCTTGATACAGTTCATTCGATTGTTCAGCCACAACATTTTCCATTTCGCCATTTACAGGGTTTATTAGCCATTCATATGTGTTTTACCTTTGACAATAAAGAGTCTGCTTTTTGTTGATCTGGTTCTGTTGCATTTTCAATCGCTTCAAGTTGTAGCAAAAAAATTTGCAATCGATCGAGTCGTAATTGTCATCTCTCTTTCTTTGATACTACCATGGATGGCAACATTGCTTCAAAGCGTGGACGGCAATTTTGGCATACCTTAAATCGATGACTCTTGGTTCTCGGATCAAATCGACCAATACATCTGGCGCACGTTTGACTGGTAAATTTTTCATCCACAAAAACGATAACACAGTTGCCACGTTTTTTGAAACTTGCGCACAGTTTTCGGGAACCGGGATATCGCATATGCCGTTTAGTCCTAATTGGTGAGTTAGGTGGTGTATCTGCAGCACCAAAAAATATAATGGATGGTTTATAGTTGACCAATTCACCAGCCTTTTCATCAGATGCTCACGCCAGAACCGTTCCATTGCAAATGGCACATTTCAATTTTGCTTTGTAATGCAAAAACTTACACACATGTAACAAACAACTACCATGACAGCTTAGAAGCTGTCACAATAATTCACCTATTATAAATATTTTAATGTCGCTAATGCAGTTGCTGACAGTCTGCAGCGCCAAAAATTCATCACCATTCATTATTATCTCATATTCGCCCATATTCTAAAAATGTCAAAATATTCGACAAAATTTGAAGTATCCTACATGGTGGATATCGGTGAATACTTACGGATATTGTCAGATACGGTGAGATATTTGAATTTTTATGAGATTTTGAGAATGAAGTTAAATTTTGGTACATAAATACGCGTGGAATCCCCCTAGGGTGAAGGCATCGTTGGATACAATCTGCGGTCATTCCGATCATTTCGTTCAACAACGACGAAACGATTTGTCCATCTTTTGGCTTTAGCATTTCGAGTCTTGTGGCCAGTATTCCAATGGAATCGCTTCGCATTTGTCTCCAAATTCACCTAAAACACAAATTTAAATTCAAAATAATTTGAAATATTTTTTCTTTACTTTCAAAGTTCGTCTCACTGTGGCATTCCATGTCTTCATGCCAGGATCTATTCCTAACTCGTAGACAAAATCACCATCCAAATATTTTCGCATAATTTCACTTTCATCCATTGGTTTCGAATCATGCTGTTGCTTTTTGTAGAGAATTAAAACTGATACGCAATCGGATAGGACCATGAATTGAAATTGTTTCTTTCTTTTTCCGAGTTGTTTTATTTTTGGCAATTTGAACACTTGATTCCAGTACCATGTTTTGTCTCTTTTTAAATCGCATGAAGAAATTTGCGTTCCGTTTTCATTTTTTGCAATGATGCCAGTTCCACAAAACAACTTGTACAAATTGTAGTTGTCAATGGTGAAATGCGCGCGGAAAAATCCACAAAGCGGAATAACGGTGAGATTTTTGATTTTTGGTGGCGTATTTGCATCTGGATCTGTGTTTTGTTTTGTTTTTGCGCTTGCTTGCGACGCTGTTGACGATTTTCTTCGGTACCATTAAACTCTTCAATCTATCGTTGCATTCCCAGCCACATGGGCAGTGATTTGAACCAATTATTTTTGGTGAAATTTGTGATGTTATCATTTTCCATTTCAAACCAACTGTGACGACGAATCATGTTTAACAGCATCTCGCGTTTTTCTCGTCGCACAGCAGCGTCATTTGTTCCGAATCCAATGCGATCCTTTCCATAAACAGTCCATTGTATTGTATTGTCAATGCCTTTGTTATCAAATATAACAATGATCGGATTTCAATTGTTTTTGTACACCTTCATTTTTAGAAATTCATTTAACCGTTTCTTGAGATGTGCGTTTAAAATTAAATTATTTTCCATATTTGTTCCATATGTTATGATCAAATAATTCATTCCGTTGCCAAGGTAGTCGGTTTTTGGCCAATCAAAACGGTATTCTTCAGGCAAATTTGAAACAAATTGACAAAATTCTGGGTCCATCTGTAGAACGCCTTGAAAACATTTTCTGATGATGTCCTCGCCATTATTCTTTTCGAAAAAATCAATGTGATATGCCTCAAACGCACGTTGAACCTTGGTCAAAAAAAGCAACGATCCTAATGCACATATCTTGGTTGCAGTCAAACTTCGTTGAGTGATTTCAGAAATCATTAAATCGCGATATTCTTTACGCAGAATTGAATTAAGCGTACATTTTATGGCCACTACTCCATCATCGCCATTTGATTTGCCCTTCTTCCTAATCTTCATTGTTTAGTCACCTGTCAAAAGCAAAAACAAAAAAATTACATAATTTTCTATTATTTGAAGGATAATGCATTTTCAAGCGATATTTCACCGACAATGATGTCAAAAATGGAAAACATTTTATTACACTACACTTTTATACAAAAAACAAAACAATGCAAATATGTTTTACCTTTATGGTTGATCTCAATCGAATGATAAAATTCACTGCTTTTGAGCAGAAAAATGTTAACTGATTTGTTATTCCGTTGAAAACCACAAACGATTTCAAAATGGTGTGCTGGTACTTGGCTCCGATTTTCTCTTCCTTCTTGCCGTGGTCACCGATCAAATGCAACTGTGCAATTCTTTTATTCATCTCAGTATTTATAGGCAAATTAAACAATGATTCCATTTAAAAAATTATATTTCAATTTGTTGCGAAATTCTCATATAGAATGCTGATGAAGAAAAACGCAATTTTCAGGAAACAATAGGCTGCTTGAATTTAAATTTAACAAGCAATCAAATGTATCATAAACTTCAAAAATCACAAATCAATAACGATTGTTCACCGAAAATGTCCATATTTGAAAAGAAAAACTATTCTATGAAGAACAATGCGATATTCTTTATTAATTGTATGTTGACAATACACCACATTCGTTTCTTTAATTCCGTTTCAAAACCACACTCTTTCACTGCAAATCAAATACTAAATAAAAAATCTCTCTCTGCTAGCTATATTCCAAAGCAAAAAAAAAAAACTATTCTACAACGCTACGTCTTGAATCCTGCCGATATGGCACACCAACCAAAAAAATCTGACACAGCATTTCGGAACAATACAAAAACTTCACAACTCATAAAACACTCACGATAGTCATTGAAAAATTACATACTTTGAAAAATCGATATTTTATGAAAATATGAAACAATTCTATTAAGATTCTTAATTTAAGAACAATAACAAAATGCATCGATTTATTCGTTTTTCTTATATTTCAAAAGTAAAAACAAATCGCTATGCTTGCTGTATTCACAGCGATGCATTTTAATTTGAAATCAGCAACATTGTCGACGCACGCTTTTTTTTTAATACCGGCAACGATCTTAACACACACAAGCTAATTAAATCTCAAAATTTGTTGTAAAGTGTGCAAAATCGTATGGAAAACGTTCCAAATTATAGATTCAAAAATCCAATCCTTTTCATTGTTGCTGCTTACAAACAACATCGATACTCAAAAACGATTTACAAAACAAAACAAAACAGTGGTGTTTATTTTATTTTCGAGAACCGATTTCGGTGTCGCCACACAATGCGCTCTGTTCATGATGTTTTACAGTACAAATCTGACGAGAATACAAATACACGCACACATCTACTATGAACATTTCATCTTATTGCCCGCTGTGTCAGATTCTGTTACACTGTTTGTTATTGAAAATAGCGCGAAATGATAGATAACAAACGAGAAAGATGCTAAGAAAGCATTTAATAGAAAATGAACTTTGATTAATTACCTGAAAAGAAACCTGTATTTTCAGTGCTGATATCCAAAACTCAATTTAGTACGACACCCTAAAGTACACGTTATAATTCGAGTTCAAATTCTGCGGTTTTAATTACGGACCCATTATATACGGGTCGACACTCTTTTTTTTAAATTCATCTCATTTATAAATCGATACATCAAGCATTACATTCAAGTAAATTGGCAATGTATTTACACTAAACAAAAGGTTTGCTTCATACTTGGTCCTAACTTGAAATGTATCTTAAGTGGAATTTTCTTCAATGTTCTGTGTGGAACTTCAAATTATATTACTATCAAATTGACCGTTTAATCTCTGTGATCATTTTCCCCGTTCAAAACATTTCTGTGAGGATGAAGGAACATTAAATTTTTGAACATTTAAAAGCAACACAACTAAATTAATCTTTTCTTTTTTATTCTTGTGAACCTACAACTTTCTCTCGTTACCTTATTCGATTTACCCGAATGTAATTGATTGTTTGTCTGGACTCCCAGGTACTCAAGGTATATCCTCAAATAAAATTATGACCAACGTTCTGGCGTGTGATGTTTTAACAACAGACGTTTACCTTTCGTTTTCTGACTTCATTTTCGTTGTCATATTTTTTATTACTCTTTTTTTAAATTCATTTGGTTTTATCATTCTCATTGTCTCATATTTCTGAATAAAACTAACAAAACACACTATTTAATTTTAAGTTTTTAGTACTTTGCATACAAGACATATAACTTCACAACACACAAATATAAAAAAGAGAAACGAAAGGAAGTCTTGTACAATGAATGTTTATCTAAGTTTGGATCTATTTTATTATTTCCAAAAAATGTATTGTTTCTTCTTATAATTTCTGCATATTTTTGGTATTTTCATCTTTCTGATTTATATTTAAATTCGTCAGAATTCGAAAGCTATTGTTGTTATATCAAACACACGCCAATTTGTATATAATAAAATTCAACAGTATTTCTGATTATTTTATACTTTCCCAGAACTTATTTAAATTCGTTCATTTCTATGCATGTTTTTTTCAATATGTTCATTTTCATTTTTAACTTCTGTTTGGAGAAAGAAAAACTTTGAGCTTCTAAAATCCCCGATTAATGTTAACTATCACTCAATCAAATTTCTTACTAGAAAATTTTACCTCTTTCACACCTCATGCCAGGGGATTCCAAACACGTAAAATATTGTGCTTCAGTAAATTTATTTGGTGTTTTACGCTCTCAACGGGTCACTTATCAATTTTGGATTGTCTCCGTATGTTCTTAGAAGTATACATATAACGCTATATACCTTACTACATACTAAGCAAAATATCTCTATATTGGCATGACTCTTTTTACAACAGTAGAAAGTATAAATACTTTTATAGTTTTGTTTACACTTTTCAACGTAATAAGCTTCGAAAAACCCATTGAGAGAGTCAAACCAAACAAACCATTTTAGTTGAAATAAAAGTTAGGAGTTTAAAAAAATGAATTTCAATTTATTTCTAGCAAAATATTTCTTTAATAAAACCCTCCAATATTTTGTTCTCTAGTTTATTAGCATGGTAACGAATATGGTTTCCATTTTCCTGTTATACGATGGCTTAATTGTTAGTTTTCAAATAACATGTTAATAATGTATTTGTGGGAAGTTTATTTAAATTCATTAATCTTTTCTCTTTGAAATTTTTGCTGCATTGAGAGCAATGATTTGTTTTTTTCGTTTTTGTTTTCTTTTGCTGTTAGTAGAAATTGTTCGTTCATTCTATGCTTATTGCTATATTAGTTCAAATTTGAATTATATGCAGTGCTGTTTCAATAGAGAGTTGTCATCGATGAAAAAATGAATCGCTTGCAATATACTTTAGTTCGTAGCCGCTCAACTTACAATTCATTTTATTCAATTGTTTTACTGAAATTTCAATTTCTCTGAATTGGCATTCTAATCTGAGAATGCTGGCATTGTCATCCGAAAATCAAGGTGATGAGTAGTCTTTTTTCTCATGCACGTGTTTTTATGTTTTGAATGAATCTAGACAATGGCAGCAACAAAACGCAACGCAGGTTTAACATCAGCTGTTCCGCGGGCAACTCTTAATGATGAAGAACTGGTATGTATTTTCAGTCCTATACAAGGATATGCTGCACATGGGTAACGTATTTTTTGGTATTCCGTACATGCGAATTTTTTTTTATGAAACAATTGTTTTTAAATCTACGTAAAAGAATATTGTAAATAGTTTGTTGAATGTGATGAAAAATAAGTTTGTCATCATCAAATGCATATGACTAATGTTCAAGTATCAGCAGTTATGTCATCATAATTTGATTTCGTAGCTCCGAAGAATAGATAATATTATTCTATAGTGTTATTATTTAATGAACAGGATAGTATAAATAAATTTAATCAATTGAATTGCATGAATTCTTTGACATAAGCATGCCGCTTAAGTTATATTAAATAACATCATAATCGTTTGAATTGATTATTTCTCTGATTAGGAATTTTCTTTTTTCTGTTTATAACAATTTTAATTTAAGGGAAAATTATTACTTACAATATACTAAAAATATTGATTTCGACTTTAAATTAAAAGAATCAATTTTTCATATAACGAGTGAGCCAGCAGTTTTTGACTGAGAGTTTGTCTAACCCTACATTTGTCATAACTGAGCAGAGTGCGTTTAACTCTCAAACGGTACATTCCATCGTAAATAAGAATTAAATAAATTGAAATGGAAATATTAAAAACGATGAAAATACAAAAAAAGTATTGATTATTCAAAATAATTGGAGTAATAAAAATAAAATAAAATAATTTTTATATTCATATCATTCGATTTTTCGGGTGAATCCTTCTATCGTGAATTAAACGTACGTTGTTTTTTTATGATAGCCGCAGGGTTTGACAAATTTGCAAGCAAGGACAGCTGGCTCACTTTTTGGCATTGTTCTTTATAAATGAAGTTTAATTTTTGTAAAATGTATGATTATTTATATAACGAACACTGTTCGTTTTCAAAATGATTTTCTCATCAGATTTTTCTCATTTAGATGATTAGAATTACAATAGAAACAGACAATCAATATAGTTTTAGATACAAGTTTTTTTTATTCGCATGTAGAATTAAAATTGAATACCTTTAGTATTATTGCACAAAGCTCTTTCACGATTTTTAGTCAATATATTTAATAATATTTAATCGAATTTTTATTACTATCCTTTTACAAATGACCATGTACTATCGCGCGAAAAATTTTTCATTGGCATTTCATTTTGATGAAAAAATGCGTTTAATTGTCCTTGCCTATCGACATTTTTAAATATACGCGTTAAATGAATCGCACCACCCCCGACGTCGTAAATTCAATCATTACAACACTGGAAATTCGTTCGTGCTCAACCATGACAATGATATTTGGAATGCAATGATTACGATTTGGACTTTCTCTTGCTTTGGGAAAATTCGTCATCATAGAAAATGCATGTGTATAAAAAATCATTGCAAGCACTTATATATCCAATATCATCTACGACACCACATAATTTCGTGCTGTGGACAGCAACATCGCCAACATACTGCTACGAATGTGAAGGTCTGCTTTGGGGTATTGCAAGGCAAGGTGTTAGATGCACTGAATGCGGAGTTAAATGCCATGAAAAATGCAAAGATCTATTGAATGCAGACTGCTTACAAAGTATGCTTTTAAGTAATGTACCACATTGGAAACATCTTATTCGATTTAACTGGGGGCGATACGAAGTAATTGGTTCCTTTTTTCTTTTCTTCTCTTTTCTATTTTTTTTATTTAGGAGCCGCGGAAAAAAGCTCAAAACATGGTGCAGAAGATAAAGCAAACTCAATCATAACGGCAATGCGAGAGCGTATGAAACAACGGGAACAGGAAAAACCAGACATTTTTGAATTGATAAGGTAAAATATTTATATGATTGGAACATGGAAAAACATCGATTTGAATTAAAATTAAAATTTACTTCGAATACGACTACATTTTTCTTTTAATTTGTAGGGCTGTTTTTAGTGTTGAAGAGAAAAGTCATTCAGGCCATATGAAAGCGGTTAAGCAAAGTGTTTTGGATGGCACGAGTAAATGGTCGGCGAAAATTGCAATTACAGGTTTGGTTAAGAACTTGTTTTTTACAGATGACAAGATCTTATTGTTATTTTTACCATAATTTTTTTTCGCAAATGTGTGTGTTCACCATATGACTAAGTGCATTCAAACTGCTTGTATTGTCGATATTGTTACTTAAAGTAAACGTCCCAGGAAACAATTGTTAACGCAAAATCATCTTTATCCAGTACAATCAATATAAAAAAGATATACACTATATTCGAATAGTCGTACTTTGGCAAGGCTATACTACAAACATTTTGTTTGAAATTCAAAGCCTAGAGAAATAATTATGTTATCCTCAATTTGATTACGATCAGTGATGGTAGTCCAACAGTTGAATTTCTCGTGGAAATTGTTTGAAACCGTTGAAAAGTTTGTGAGTGTCTGGAACATGTTCACACTTTCAAATTTCAATCGGTACATTTGCTGGAACAATACATAATAAACGTTTAAAATATTATCTGTTGTCGAAACAAAAATCACGTCCACTCAAATCTCTTTGAATACTAATTGTTTATTTTTTTCGGCCAAAAATGGGCCAAAGCGTCTTTCAATGTTTAAAGCTACCTAATGTAAACATATTACCGACTGATTCAAGTAAGATATTTTCAGCAGCGGTTAGAGAGTGCACACCCAAGTTTGCTATACAATAAACAATTTCTATTGACACACCACTTCGCTTGATATATATATTTTAGTCAATTTGTCTGTCATTTAATTTATATTTGTTTATTTGAATGCATTTTATGTAAACTTGATGCATGCCACAGAAAATTAGTAATTTAAATTTGATTTCAACTTATAATTTGGACGATGAATTGTGTCATAATTGTTTTATTACTCGTGCTGAACCAAATTTAGCCCCCCCTGGCTTATATGCCCCCCCCCCTATCCGACCTGGCAAATTTTTGCGATTGCCTTGAAACCTTTTTAGGGATTTAGTGACTAAATTGTGATAATTTGTGACACCATTATTTCGGCCAATGGAATAGACTTTCGGCCAATTTTGGCCGTTTTTCTATTTAGGCCTATTGGCCAAAAAGCCTCTTACCAGTAATGCTCCCATGGTGTCACTCACCGATTGAGCTGGGCATAGTTGCCCTGTTTAGAAAATAAGGGGGGCCCAATCGAAATAGGGGGGACAGGGGAGTACCCCACCATGTCAAAAATTCATCGCATCAAAAAATAATGTACTACAAAGTTGTTCAGAATGATGAGAGAAATTTTCTAGGACCCCTGCCCTCCAAGTCTTCCCACCCCCAGGGTCATAACTCCTTCACCCATTATTTTTTTCACTCGAAACCACGAAATTCGGAATCAGCATCCCAAATTACCCTAGAAATGATATTCGTCTAGAGCTCATTCACCAAGTCCCAACAATTCAGAGCCCCCCCATTAGGGTAAAATGATAAAAAGTCGATTTTTCACTTTTTGGGTGCGGAATTTCGAACTCAAATGTATGGCCAACTATAACTAATTTTATCCGCATTTATTTCATTTAGGCCATTGCATATCCCCTCCCATCACCCCAAGGGGGGTCCCCCTACAAAATTTACGAAAATTTCGAAAAATACCCCGAAATTGGGTCCATACTCACTCTAACCCCAAAATTAATTACATATTCGGATTCCTCGTAAAAAATTACTTATAGGCTCCATACATTGTCAATCCTCTTGACCTTCAATTTACTCCATCTAACTTGAACCTTCAATTCGGGTCGAAAAGTGAAAATACCCCATTTCATTGTTACTTCACAATGGGATATTCACCCCTTATGACTCAAATAGGTATACGTATTTCCTCCCAAGAAAGTTACGCATATCAATGTAGTTTCCATTGACATATAGTTTTGGCCGCCCTGCATGAGCCAATTCGGAGGGCAAGGGTCAAAATAATATAAAAATGAACCCTTGCCCTCCGAACAGGGAGGGGTATTTTTCGAAATTTTCGTAAATGTTGTAGGGGGTGTTGGGAGGGGATGGGCAATGGCCTAAATGAAATGTGCGGATAAAATTAGTTATAGTTGGCCATACATTTGAGTTCGAAATTCCGCACCCAAAAAGTGAAAAATCGACTTTTTATCATTTTACCCTAATGGGGGGGGAATTGTTGGGAGACTTGGGGTGAATGGGCTCGAGACGAATATCATTTCTAGGGTAATTTGGGATGCTGATTCCGAATTTCGTGGTTTCGAGTGAAAAAAATCATGGGTGAAGGAGTTATGACCCTGGGGGTGAGGGGACTTGGAGGGCAGGGGTCCTAGAAAATTTCTCTTATCATTCTGAACAACTTTGTAGTACATTATTTTTTGATGCGATGAATTTTTGACATGGTGGGGTACTCCCCTGCCCCCCTATTTCGATTGGGCCCCCCTTATTTTCACCACAGCAATGAAATCCCTACTACCGTGCTAGATGGTGTCGACACGAGTGGACGGATTTTTAAATTTATTTGAACGACGCCATGTTACTATACTTGTCCATTACAACGTACATGTAACAGAAGAAACACACAGTCCATGTCCTCGCTAGTGGACATAAACGATTTGAACCGTCAATGTGAACTAGATCAAGTATAGAACTTTCAGCATATTCTAAACAGGGCAACTATGCCCAGCTCAATCGGTGAGTGACACCATGGGAGCATTACTTGTTCAGAGACATTTAATATGGGGTTTTCCGTAAATAAAATACTTCGATGTAACAAATAGATCTTAATTACTTTAATTTTAATATATAATAATAATGCATAAATGATAATAATGTTTGAAAATAGATTGATTTGAAAAATGAAACGAATAAGTGTATAAATGACTAATCGATGCTATGTTAATGCTTATGCGAATGCGACTGTTGTGTGTGAGCGGCACTGCCGAACTGAATGTGCAAAAGTGAGTGTGCCGAGCTGAATGTGACGCACTGAATGTGTTTAATGTTACACGAAAACGTTGCCATTTCGGTAAGATGTTTTTATGCTTGTCGAAGTGAATCGTGGTTCACATTTCCAATTCTGTTCATTCTGCCCCAAGACTGCCCAAGATCCATGGCAGTCTTTGCTCCTTTCCTCGTCCCATGGCTTGTTGTCGCTTCCTATCAATATATATCATCGAATGACTTTTGAATGTAACTTAAAATGAAATGTATTGACCTGGATTGGTGTTTCCATTTTTATAGTGAAAGGAGCGAGTACGACGTTTCTCCCTTTGCTAAGCGAAATTAATCCGATATACGGCGCTGATGTAAATGTCACTCTATGTCATTCCACAATGATACATTTTTTGGCTTGACAACCCATATGAAACCTTAACGCTATGCGCGTCAAATCGACGTTATTCGACGCTATTCTATGTGTCTATATGAAATTGTACATTATGTTTTACAGTGCCTGCGCCGTCTACTGTGATTGAGTCGCAATTCAATACACAAAACATAACAGGCAACGCGCGCACATAAACGGAGTTCGTGTGTTACTGTGTATAAGGCCGCATGCTTGCACAGCACTGTAAAACATAATGTACAATTCTATATACACATGGAATAGCGTCGAATAACGTCGATTTGACGCGCATAGCGTTGAGGTTTCATATGGGAATATATAAGCTCTTCATTCAACATGCATAATTTTTGAACGGTCGAGTAAAAAAAAGAAACAAATCTTACGTTTATCATAAAAATTCTCTATATTTTAAATTTATTTGTTTAAAAATAACAATAATTTCAATTTTTTTTCATAGATTGAACAAGAATCTAATGTAAAAAGTTATACCAATGCGACACCCACCGTTAAAATAGAAAAGGAAACTTATTTGGAATTGTAACATTTTGGTCCGCCATAACAGCATCTTCTCTGTGATTGGTCAAGTAAAACGAAGATGCTGTCATGGCGGACCAAAATGCTACAATGGAGACCAACTAAGTTTCTTTTTGCATTTTTACGGTAGGTGTCGCATTGCCATTACTATTTACATTGGATTCTTATTTAATCGATGAAACATTTTTTGTTGAAATTATTGTAATTTATAAACAAATTAATTTTTTTATAAAAAAATTTTTTTAATAAATTTTTTAATGAAAAATGTTAGAAAAATATTTTATGACATATTTTTTTCAACGATTCAGTAATTATGAATGTGTATGCATTTTAAATGAAGAGCTTATATATTGTCAAGCCAAAAAAGTATTATTGTGAAATGACAGAGTGACATTTATATCAGCGCCGTATATCGAATTAATTTCGCTTGGCATAGGGGGAAATATTTTGACAGATAGTACTCGATCCTTTTGAATAAAAGCAAAAAATAAAAATCTAATGATGCAGAATTTTAGTGATTAATTTGTGACTCACTTAATATGACTTTAGATTTTCGATACGACATCTGGTGGACATATTATGAACAAAAAATTGAAAAATGCACAAAAATGATTTTAATCAAAAATTTGAAAAGGCTTTTTATAAAAATGGGCAAAATTATAAAAATTCTTCGACATAATTTTGGTGACCAATTTGTGGGTCTCAAAAATGTCAACATTTGAATTTGTGACACAACGTGTGTGACAGAAATCACCATTTTTCGATTTTCTCACTAAAAGTCGAAGTTGAATGAAATTCCTACAATCCCTAAAAAGGTTTTAAGGCAATCGCAAAAATTTGCCACGCTGGATAGGGGGGGCGCTTATATTCCACTTTATTGCAGATGTAAATGCTGTTGCTTGTTATATTTATGTTTATTGTTGTATGAAATAGGTCGTTTTTTAACTGTGGATGTCCCTCCACAGTTACAGTTTTTATAAAGATTCAAATAGCTTAATTGTGTACAATGTACATATTTTCACAGTAAAATCCGTTGTATTTTACTTGTTTGCTTAAAGGATAGATAGATATGTATATGTTCATTTTTGTTGAATATTTGTGTAAACAATTTTTAGCATTTTTTTCAAACCACTTAAGTTTTGCACCTTTTTATTCGATTTTCGAATAAATTATTGTTAAATACTGTAACAAAATAAAACAAAAATATTGAGGAACAAATCGTGATCACCGACGGTCTTCACATTCAAGATCTATTTTATTTTAATTTTGTTTATGATTTTTTTAATTCTTATTTATGCGACAAATGAATTGTTAGATTTCAATTACAAAGTTATTAACTAACCTCGAAATGGCCCAAGAACATATTATTGGATGGAAGCATATTTGCAAAAAAAAGAAGTCGGCGCGTTTCGTTGGAATTTGTAATTTTATTAGAAACTATGCATATAATCTACGTTCCATTTAACGATGAAATGACGATAAAATCGACCAAAGTATTACATGTTTCAACGTAAAAATGTCAAAAAACCGGTAACTTAACGCTACTATATCTTTTTTGATTATTTTTCCTTTGTGTACAAAGCTCCAAGAAATACAATAAAATCCCAAAATGTAGCAAATATTGAACGTGGATATAATTTTTTTTGCAAATTAAAAGCAATCAATCAATTTTTGATATTTCTTGATAATAAATATTTTTTTGATTAATTCTTCTCATAAATTTTCAATTAAATGATCAAGTTAACGATATATAAAGAGCCAGACCAAATTCGATTTGTAAATTTGAAATGTTGGTTTTGTTTTTTTTTTAGAAGAAACTTAAAAATATAAAACAAAATTAAAACTTCTTCAAAGAGTACTTCTGACAAATATCTCATATACCAAGACCATAAGGGTTTGGATACATCAATGAATCCAGTAAAATAAAATTGATCGTGTTCTTTTTTTAATTATCATTTTATTTACAGCACATATTTTTAAAGATCGTTTGTTTGTATGTTTGTATGTTTGTATGTTTAACATGTGTAAAGAATCTTTCTGTGTATGAAAATATGATGCATATAGGTGGTTAGAAGAGATTTTTGCATTTGTCCGATATATGTGAATTTTTATCACCTGTTTCTTTTTTATATGTCTACTTAGTTTTTTTGTTGTTTTTAGTTTGGATATTTTGAGCCTGCTCTATTTCATTGAATTTTTTACTCAATGTTTTTATGACCATTTCTTTACCAAATGAAAAAAGAAAACAACATTTACACTTAAATAAAATACACAACATATATAACGCGAGCAATCTTAATAAAAAGAATTAATATGATTCTTTGTCATAGCATACAAACAATTTTTACAACATGACTATTGCTATAGATTTTTACTATAGCAAATTTTTATGAAAGCATATTCTATAGCAATTGTCAATAACAATTAGTGCAAATAAGTTTGCATTTTTTTGAAATCGATTACTTTTTGAGTTCAGATGAACGAGATCGTTTTATTGATAGCTGAAATTCACACACTCTTCATCAGCCAAATTGCGTCTGATATCTAATGAAAAATACAAAAATTATAAAAAATCATCATGATTTTCAGCCAAAAAAGATACTTCCAGCTTATGCAAATTACAAGTAGGTCCATAAGTAAAAATGTCCGAATTTAATTTAAAAAAATTCTAATCGATTCGTAACAATATGTAGAAACAACCACACGAGTTTTTATAGATTGTAACATTAAAAAAAATCTATTTTGCTGATTATTCGTCGATCCATACATTTTACATATATTCATAGAAAATTAACATTTTGAAATGTGTTCAGAACATCCCGCATATTTTTTACTGTAAAAATTTCCTCTTTTAATTTCCACTTGAAAGTCTGCATGTATGATTGTTGCTTGCGTTTAACCTGATTAAAAAAAATCTAAACTTAAAACACAAACCAAACCCACAAAATAATAACACACATACACATATATTTATATATATACAAACAATACACAAGTCAAATATGTCCCAAATAGCAAAATTATACCGTATTATAGAGAGCTCAAGAAATGAAATCTAAACAAAACAAATTTTAATGTAAAATTGTAAAATTTAACAAACCAAAAACTTAAGGCAAAAACAATTTTTTTCTCGTCAATAATTATTTTTGCAGTAATTTGTGCGCAAGGATTAATAGCGAAAGATAAAAGTGGAACAAGTGATCCATACGTAACGGTACAAGTTGGTAAAGTAAAGAAACGCACACGAACAATGCCTCAGGAATTAAATCCAGTTTGGAATGAAAAATTTCATTTGTACGTTAAAAAAATTTAAAATATATTTTTCAAACATTTTCCATCATAATAAATTCCAATCTTATCTATTTATCTCTAAAACCATCCAATGAGACCAGCTATCAGAATGCGCCACTGTTTCAAAGTGGATATAATTTAATACGTCAATATAAATCACATAGAACGAATTTCAGAGCGCATATACTATCAGCAAAACAGAACATGAACGACTGGTTCTTTTTTCTCATGTTTTATTGACAGTCATATGATATTTGGCATTCGTTCTAAGTGATTTAATAGTCAAACTTTGATAGCTTGTCTCTATAGTTTAAATTCTATTTCTTATCGTCCTTTATCAGAGATACTTTCTTTTTCTAAATTTTTTCCTATTTTGAGTATAAAATTTGTTATTTCATGCATCGATCGAAAATATCTTGACTTTTGATTCATAGAAAAAAAAACGAATTTAATACATTTTCTTTTAATTTCTTTTGATTTTGTTTAACTTTGAATCAAAAATTCTGTTCAAATATTAGTTGAAAGAATACCATATGGTTTTACATGCGCGGCACATATAACGTGTGTTCAATCAAAGACACGATTTGTTTTTTACGGCTCAAATATGAGTTAATTAATATCATTCAATTGCCAAAGCGATTTTATATTTTATAGCGTTTTGATTTTAGAGTGCCCATAGATTGCCTTGATATCGAAATATATTTCGTGATATATATTTTTTTTTCTTGAAGTAAACAGCAAATGATTCAAAGTGAAAATTCTAAGTATATTACACTATACTTTCATTAACCAAATATTAACAGAAATAACCTAATTTAATGTTAAAAGAAATCAAATTTGTTTCCTTTCGTTTTGAAAACAAACTATTTCTCTCTCTATCATTTAGTCTTTCTCTTTCTCTCTTTCTCTATACTTCTTAGTTAAAGTTTTCAATTTTTTAAAATCATAATTCCATAATATGCTCATTTATTATTATTTTTCTCTTCATTTGGTTTCATATTTCGCCCACTTTTTTACTGTTATTCATTCGCATATAAACTGCGCGCTGTTTTTCTCTTTCTGCGTCGGTGCGTGTGCGTTATACGTTTATTGAATATCCAATTCGGAACACAATGTAGCGAGTGCCATAATTCATCGGATCGAATAAAGGTTCGAGTATGGGATGAGGATAATGACTTGAAATCAAAGCTGCGACAAAAGTTAACAAGAGAATCAGATGACTTCTTAGGCCAAACGATTATTGAAGTGCGTACTCTTTCAGGCGAAATGGATGTATGGTATAATTTAGAAAAGCGTACGGATAAATCCGCCGTTTCGGGTGCTATCCGATTGCACATTAGCGTGGAAATTAAGGGCGAAGAAAAGGTTGCACCATATCATGTGCAGTACACTTGTTTACATGAAAATTTATTTCATTATTTATGCGAGGAACATAGTGGAATGGTTCGTACAATATTTGAAAAAAGAATAAAAAAATATTTTTGTTTTAATCTCAGATCTTTATTGAAATGTCGAAAAACAAAATTGATTTGTATTTTTTTTTTGTGTATATTTTAGGTTAAATTGCCGACATCTGAGGATGATGAAGCATGGAAAATTTATTTCGAAGAAATACCGGAAGAAATTGTTGACGAATTTGCAATGCGATACGGAATTGAAAATATTTATCAAGCTATGACACATTTTCATTGTTTATCAACAAAATATCTTTGTCCGGGCGTTCCGGCTGTTATGAGCACACTATTGGCTAATATTAATGCATATTATGCTCATACAACTGCAACAACTGCTGTGTCAGCATCTGATCGCTTTGCTGCCAGTAATTTTGGTGTACGTATTTTGGATGAAAACTTAACATTTATAATCAAGATAAATAAATAATTGTTTTAGTTGTTCTTATCCAAACATGATCTTTTTTCGATTGAAAATTATTGTTTTCTATTTTGCAGAAAGATAAATTTGTTAAACTATTGGACCAATTACACAATTCCCTACGCATTGATTTGTCGATGTACCGGAATAATTTCCCAGCATCGAGTCCAGAAAAACTTATGGACTTAAAATCCACCGTTGATTTGCTAACAAGTATCACATTTTTTCGCATGAAAGTAAGTGTATTTGTAAAATAAGATGACTCTTCAACATATCTTAACGGTTTATTTGTTTTTCATTCCAAGGTACAAGAACTGTCGAGTCCGCCTCGTGCGAGCACAGTCGTTAAGGATTGCGTAAAGGCCTGTCTTAGATCCACCTATCAATTCCTGTTCGAAAACTGTTATGAACTCTATAATCGGAATTTTCAGGTAATTTCATTCCAAATATAAAGTAAGCAATTCATATGCGCTTTTTTATTTTTAAGTTTGATTATATAACTTTATTTCTCTTCAATTATTTTGAAACACATAAAAGAGACATATTTTTTGACATAAAGAGTTTCATTGCTTTCTTGAAGGTTACTTGGGTTAGAACCAATTTCATGAACAAACTTCATCGCATGTAAAGTTTAAATCTGGGACTTATTATTATATCCGGTATTAAGTCCTTTGATTTTTTCCCGCATTGATTTGAATTATTTTGTGAATTTGCAATTTGTTAAACAGTTATTAAAAAAAAAAAAAAAACGTTTTTCAGGGATTTCTATTCATTTTTCGTCAGAGGCACGATTACGCATCGACATTTATATTTGAGTTTAATAGTGATACATTAAATTTAATTTCTAAAAGAAACGAACATTCATTATCTTTTTGTTTGCAATAATATACACTTGTAGGAGGATCCAAACGAGGCTAAACGCGATCCTGACGATCACGGTCCCAAATTGGATAGCGTTGATTTTTGGCATAAGCTAATAGCACTTATAGCTTCAGTTACTGAAGAGGACATTAATAGTTATAGTACTGTCCTCAATCAGTTCCCTCAAGAACTGAACATTGGCCAGGTATAAAAGTCTTTAAATTTTACATTTAAAAAAATATGTTTCCATTGTAATGTGTACTATATAAAAATGTTCATTTTAGTTGTCTGCTGCACAAATGTGGAGTCTCTTTGCTGTCGATATGAAATATGCGTTAGAAGAACATGAGCAACATCGCTTGTGTCCATCTTCTGCCTATATGAATCTTCACTTCAAGGTAAGATATCAACCAGTTGTTTTTGTCATTCAATTGTTGTGCACTCACTTACTTGTGTAATTATTTTTAGGTAAAATATCATTATAAAACATACGTCAAGGACGTGCCACCATATAAGGGAGCGGTTCCAGAATATCCGGCTTGGTTTGAACCGTTTGTTATGCAGTGGCTTAACGAGAATGATGATGTTTCATTAGAATATTTACATGGAGCCTTCAATCGAGATAAAAAGGATGGCGTATGTGTTTCTTATATAAAATACATTTTATAGTATTATAAGAAAAAAAAGAAATGATATAATTTTAAAATTACAGTTTCAAAAGAGCTCAGAACATTCGTTGTTCTCGAATTCGGTTGTTGATGTGTTTACACAATTAACGCAATGTTTCAAAGTTGTCAGTAAATTAGAATGTCCCGATCCGGAAATTCTAAAGCGATATATGAGACGGTTTGCTAAGACAATAGTCAAGGTGCTAATAGCTTATGCAGATATTGTGAAGAAAGACTTTCCAGAACACTTAAAAGACGAACGTGTCGTAAGTAGAGATTTCTCTTATGATTTTAAATATTCAAAATATTTATTTGACGCAAGAAGGGAAACTTAATCAATATCATATTTTTCAGGCCTGCATCCTAATGAATAATATCCAACAGTTACGGGTACAACTAGAGAAAATGTTTGAATCAATGGGTAAGTCACTAGAAAGAGGTCACTTTAAAAATTACTTTTCCATCAATTTCATTTTTTTCTTTTCTAACTATCTTCTAGGTGGTAGTGAATTGGAAGTAGATGCAGCTAACATACTTAATGACTTACAACAAAACCTCAATACAGCCCTCGACGAGCTTGCGTCACAGTTTGCTGATAGGTAAATTCATTAATTCGCCATAACTTGAAATTTTCTCAGAAGAGAAAAAAAAACTTTAAATTCGATCTTTATAAATTTGCTTTATTGATTGATCATTTTTTGTCCCTCAATTAAAATAGTTTACAGCCCCGTATCATACAAAGTGTTCGTGAACTTGGCGATTTATTACAGAATATTAAGGGTAGCAGTAATTTGAATAACTCCAATCAGGCAGCTCCACGTAATCAGGCAGTTGCTATGGAAGCTGATGAGGTATTGCGTCCATTGATGGACCTTCTTGATGGATCGTTATCACTTTATGCTCAATCTTGTGAGAAGACTGTGCTCAAACGTTTACTTAAGGAACTATGGAAAATTGTGATGCGAATTTTAGAAAAGACAATCGTTTTGCCACCAATGACTGACCGAACGGTAAATAAAATTTTAAAAAAGAAAACAATTAACTATAATAAGCATTATATGAAATAATATATTATTGTTTTTTTTTTCAGATGATGTTCAAAAATTTAACGGACAATGCCAAGAATATAGCTGCAAATGCAAAGATCGAGGATATGTCACGAATTTTCAAAAATCATATGGCTGGTAGTAGAGATGTGAAAATGACACTAAGTGGTGTAATGGATATATCAAAAGAGGTGGAAAAAAATTTATCGCCAAAACAATGTGCCGTTCTCGATGTGGCTTTGGATACAATTAAACAGTACTTCCATGCTGGTGGTAACGGCTTGAGAAAAAATTTCCTCGAAAAATCACCGGAACTACAAAGCTTACGTTACGCTCTCAGTCTGTATACACAAACCACCGATCACTTAATAAAAATATTCATTACAAGCCAAGTACATGAAGGTAAGCAACACACTCTTGCCAAAATCGATTTCCATATAAAAAAATTATATGTTTAAGTGTGTTCGAAGTAGCATTTTTTTAAATAACATTTAAAAAAATCCAACACAAATTCATTATAACATAAACAAAATGTTGAATGTTGATTTTATTTTTAAAAATAATGATAATGCAACTCGGAGGTTTTACATATGGTTATTGTTCAATGTTCATACATATTAATTATACCGATTTGTGGAATTTTAGGAACATATTTTCAATGAAACAATTACAGTGAGCTTAACTTTTGGGAACAATGGAAAAATTAAAGTTTAAAAATCGACATATTTATATATATTGTAAAAAATAATTTTTTTTTGTTGTCAATAATATATTGGGTGTAAGCATTAATTTCCGGATTTTTTTGGTGAAAAACAAACTTTATTTAATAACAATAAGAATGAGTACATTAACCAATGTATTGCCCATCGTTAGCTATGACTTCCGCCCATCTTCTTGGTAGCTTGTCGATTCCGCGTCGAAAGAATTCCGCATCTTTTGAGGCTATCCATTCATCGATCCATTTTCTCACTCCTTCAGGATTTCAAAATGATATCTCGGACAAATCCATTTGCATCGATCGAAACAAGTGGTAGTCAGAAGGAGCAAGGTCTGGAGAGTACGCGGGTTGATCAAGCCGATCCCAACCGAAGTCTTGTACTTTTTTTTAACGATGTCTGCTCGATGTGGCCTGGCATTATCATCGTGAAACACAACTTTGTTTTGTTTAGACGCTATCCGTGGCCGTTTAATCTTCAATGCATGCTCCATTTTGATTAATTGCATGCGGTAGCGTTGGGATGTAACCGTTTCAACTGGTTTTAGCAGCTCATAATACACGACACCTTTTTGATCCCACCAAATGCACAGCATGACCTTCTTGCAATGAATGTCTCGTTTTGACTGCGATGGTCCTGGTTGGCCTGGATTAACATACGCTCCTCCTCGCCAAACTACCAACGATAGCCAAATTTTTTGAGTATCTGATCAATTGGGAGCTCAGCAAAATGGTGGCAGATAAAATCGTACCTCAACAACACGGTTTTATGAAATGTCGTTCAACTTCGTCAAACCTATTGGAATTTTAGCATTATTCCATAAAAGAATTGAATGACGATAAGCAAATTGAAGTGCTTTATACTGATTTCAGCAAGGCCCTCGACATTGTTGACCATTCCATTCTGATAGCAAAATTATGCAAATTCAATCTGCCGCCAAACTTGATCGAATGGATTAAATCGTATCTGTCAAATCGTCGTCAATTTGTCAAATATGGTCAGATGGAGTCAAGTGAGTTTGTGGTAAACTCTGGGGTACCACAAGGAAGCCACTTGGGTCCTACGCTATTTCTATTGTTCATCAATGACATTGTGAGTGCCATCAAAGATGATGATATTTTTATCTCTCTGTTTGCTGACGACTTGAAATTGGCAACATCTGTCGCTAACTTAGACGACGCAACCAAACTACAATCAACAATCGACAAACTGAACAACAATCGACAAACTGTGGTGCGATACTAACAAACTACATTTGAACCTGGATAAATGCTCCATCATGTCGATATCGTTAACTCTTACTGTTACGGCAGTCACATCTTTAAAAGAGTGAATGAACAAAGGGACTTAGGAATCATCTTTGACAATAAACTCAACTTTGTCAAACACATCGATTCAATGGTGGCCAAAGCGACATCAGCACTTGGTTTTGTCAAAAGATTTTGCTACGATATTCCTGATGTCCATACTTTAAAATCTTTGTATTGTGCCCTTGTACAATCAATCTTGGAATATGGCAGTTTGGTATGGCTTCCATATCATGCTATACACATGAACAAAATTGAATCGTGCCTGCGTCAATTCACAATGTTTGCGCTCAAGGAGTATCCAAACATTTCAAATAACTTTAAAATTTCATCGTACAGCACCCGTCTAGGCAAACTCAATATGCAGTCACTTCAAAGGCGCCGCATAAATGCATCAGTTTTATACATATTTGACTTACTGCATAATAACATTCATTGCCCATCACTTAAAGCAGAAATCTCTCTCAATCAAAACGAACGAAATTTGCGAAATGTGGAATCTTTCAAAATTAACGACAAACTCTTGAAAATAAATCCATCGGTACCAATCAATCAAATGTGCAAAATGTCAAACAAAGTACAAGAACTATTCTCAACGCAACCAAAGAGATCAACATTCAAAAATCCACTTTTTGCCTTAAGCGATGAACATTTTTCAAACTTGTCAGTGATATCTAATCATAATACTGTTTTCTTTAACGAATTAATGTTATATATTTTTTCCTATATTTATATTTTTTGATTCATTGTATTCGGGTGCAATTTGAATATTAACTTTTGAATATTTCAATTATTTATTTATTTATATATCTATGATATTTTCTCCATTTTCAAAAAATGTTTTCTATTCTAAATTTTGAAAAGATGTGGTTTTTAACGGTGATCAGATGTGCACACACTAATGATTAAACCTTTTTCCCACCATAAATGTATAAAAATCTATGTACACACTCAAACATGATTCAGCCAGTTTTTGGCGGTGAATAAATATTATTATTTACGTTTGGGGTTGTCGTAATAGACTCACTTTTCATCGCCCGTGACAATTCGACTCAAAAAACTATGTTTTTTGTGTTCTTTGAGATGTTCTCTGCATGCTGTGATTCGTGCTTTGAGTTGATTTTCAGTCAGTTGATGTGGGACCCATTTTCCTAACTTTCGAATCTTTCCCATTGCATGCAAACGTCTGCAAATGGTTGCTTGGTCGGTATTTAATTCCAATGCAAGTTCTTTTTGCGTTTGACATGCATTTTCATCGAGTAATGCTTGCAACTCCGCATCTTCAAACTTTTTGGCTGACCTGAGCGTTATTTGTCTTGCACATCAAAATCACCACTTTTGAAGCGTTGAAACCAATCGAAACATTGTGTACGTGATAGAGAATGTTTGCCATACAATTCCCCAAGCAAACGATGACTTTCAGCTGCAGTTTTCTTTGCAAAAAAGTGGCTTAACAAAACTTCCCGCAAATGCTGTCGCTTTCTCCAATTTTCGAAATTTTCCATGGTTGAAAAAAAAATATGATTCGCACAAACAAATGAAACACTTTTGACTGATTTTGAGAGTATTTGAATAGGCCTTTCAAATGACGTATATGTCATTGATCTACTATACAACGCACAAGCAAGTGGTAACATCTGATGTCTGAGTCCGGAAATTAATGCATACACCCATAATCATTCAGTTTATTGCCAGTTTATTTATTACGAGAAATGCGTATTTGACCTTTCAATTCTCGTTACATATTTCTGCAAAGGAATTTTTACAAGAAGATATGAATAATTCTTAAGTTTCATATTTGATTACGATTGAACAATAGTTTCTTCCTCTTTTGCTAACCAAACATACGACATACTAATGCAACACACAAACAACATACACACAACATTAACACAATCAGCCAAACACCGGAGCTTTGTTATTGATGATGAAGTCGATGGCGATATGGATCTAAATTTGGAGGAACCATTAAAGGCGAAGTTAAAGCAAATGCCTAGCCGACAAGGTGCCAATGAATCATTTGATTTGTATACGTCTAAAATCAAATCAAATCCAATCAAATTACATTTTTAGAATACTGCTCACAAATTCAAACATATGCTACAATATTATGCGCGTAGCTTTCGCTTCATTAGATTTTTTCTAGGTGGAAGCAATGTCATGGGTTTGCCTGTTAAACTGGAACCCATTTCACATTACCAAATACAATTTTCTTTCTTTTGATGTATTCAGTATTGCAATTTTGCATGTATAACAGGGACTGTTAACTTTGTCCATTTTAAATTCAGACAATTTCATCGCTTTTAAGTCTTTAAATATCATCCAATATAATAAATAGAGCGTAAGAATATTTAAAAGTATCAGGATCATGGTTCCAAGTCGGCAGAGAGTTTTCTTATTTCAATTGAACACAATATTGAAAATTATTCATACTTGTACAAGTTAATACCAATAATTGGCATGTTTTTTTTTCTTCGGAAAATCCCTTGTCGAATTGAGAGACACAAATTACGCACTATAATCTTACAAAATATTACTTTGAACATAGCAATAGATTTGAATGAAGCATCAAATTAAAATAAGAATTCATTATAATCAGTTTCATCTAAACATTTATCATTTTAATATATGTTCACATTTTAATATTTGTAGATAAAAAAAATGTATGATTAATTCGAAATTAAAGAGCTTATTAGAAATATCATCGATCGATGAGTTCACCTCACATTTCGCCGATAGGCATCATAACCCACGGCATAAGCAATATCTGTTGTATTGTCAACATTAAAAATATCATTAAATAATTAATGTTAATGCAATTGTGAGCTAATGTCATAGGTAGAACAACTGAACTTAGGCGCGAAACACCACTTCTCATTAATTTGTTCATTTGAGTACGAAATGAACTAGATATATATATCTAGGCTTATGCTTCTTTATATTTGCTGGAGTTATTATAAATTAGTGTTTAATTGTAGAATTATCTTGTTCTTGCTTCTGGTTTTGCGTTTGTTACTTTTTAAACAATATGTGAGGAATGTGATTTTTCTTTCCAAATATAGATTCACAAAATCCAGACGAAAGCGTTGGTGAAATCTCAGTTCAAATTGATCTATTCACACATCCGGGCACAGGTGAACATAAAGTCACTGTTAAAGGTAAAGGCTAAAATTTCATATATATGTCTTTTCAATCAAATAAATCGAATTATTTTTTTCTTTAATTGTAAATGTGTAGTTGTTGCCGCCAACGATTTGAAATGGGTTATTCAATCGGGAATGTTCCGACCGTTTGTTGAAATCAATTTGATTGGTCCCCATTTGCAAGAGAAAAAACGGAAACACGCAACCAAATCAAAATCAAACAATTGGTCACCCAAATTCAGTGAAACATTCCACTTGTAAGTTAGAATTTTTTTTTTTTTATAGCTTTGAACATTAAATGAATCAATGAGTATTTGTATATTTAAAAAAAACAGCGAAAATATTCAAAATTCTAAACAATTTACAATTTTTATCTTTGCAGCATGATTGGTAATGAGGAACAGTTGGACTTTTTTGAACTTCATATTTGCGTTAAAGATTATTGTTTTGCACGCGACGATCGCTTAGTTGGTGTTGCCGTCCTACAGCTTAAAGACATTGTTGAGCAGGTAACAGAGATATTTGGCTTATCTTGTGCATATCTTATTTTATTTTTCAATTATAATTTTTTTTTGCAGGGATCGTGTGCACGTTGGTTGTCATTAGCAAAACGTATTCAAATGGATGAAACTGGCTGGACGATACTGCGCATCCTATCACAACGTAATAACGATGAAGTGGCAAAAGAGTTTGTGAAACTGAAATCAGAAATCCGTCAGGAACCTCCACCAAATCCATAAAGAAACATGATCCGAATTACGTCTGTAGAAAAAAAAAATCGTTTTGTTTTGTTATTTTTGGTTCTTTCTTATGGACGAAAACGATATAATTACGATAATGAAAAAGAAAAGAAGAAATATGACAAATCTGATGCCGTCAGCATACTTCGATGGATAGCCGCAAGTGTGTACTGACTTTTCTCTAATTTAAAAGAGTTTTGTCTCTAAAAAAATCTCAACTAGATTTTACAATCAACCAAATTGAACGCTGTTTAATTTCTTAGATTTTTTTTCTAGGGAAAACATATAAAAAACAAACATATATACGAAAGAATTTTTTCAAATCTTAAAACTACAAATTATGTTATCGCGAGAAAAAAAACATCCAAATATTGTTGACATAGATGTTTGCTACTCAGATATAACTCAAATTGTAAATATATTTATCGGATGAGTACAAATATCGTATATTTCTAAATCGATAGTTCCCCCGTGTATCATTAATTATGTAAAACATAATTTTATTTTTATTTTTTATTATACTATAGTCCCAATCAACAATTTTTAATGCAAAATCATCCACTATCTGGTCACAGGTTCACGGTTCATTTTAGTGGCCGATTTGTGTGTATTTTCAATGTCATAATGGAAGGTTAAAGAAGATAAAATTACGATTTTGTAGCTGACATTTTTGTGTGATGCGTCACTCAAATAAAACTCTCATTTCAATATGAAAGTTTTTTCTTTGAAAGAAATATTAACGAGTCAACATTCATTTATTCGATCGTAAATTTTTTCGGCATAAGAACTATTTTTCTATGATTATTTTGGTTTAAAATTCCTTAACCCTCCTAGGTATAGAGTGAAAAAAAAACTTGAACGGATAGAGTCGGTCCATTGGGACCGCCCATACAAAATGTATGAAAAGTCTATGAAATGAACAAAATTATATTTCTTTTTTTGTTGAAATTTTCATTATAATTTTTTTTAAATGGGAAAAAAAGTTGAAAATAAATAATTTATGACAAAATTAATTGGAATCTGATGATGCAGTTCATACGGACGCTTTTTGGTGCAGTTCGTACACATCGCAATTTTTTCGGAATGTTCACCACAAACATTTTTCATACATTTGCTGCACTGTGTTCGCGTCTTTCCATTGATTTTAGTGGGACATAAATGACATACACTTTTTTTATCTTGTTTGGTTTGCTTTGTTGAAGTTGACGGTGCTGTTGAACTGTGCTCAGTACAGCTCGATGCGCTTTATTAAATCCATAAGTAGATCTGCGTGCTATTTGATCATACACCAATGCTTCTGATAATTCGATCAAAAATTTCTTGCGTTGAAATGAATATCGATCTCGTGTAATTCCATGTTTTGCATTATAAACAATGAACGCAGCGAGTCCAAAATGTGGAGTCCATATACATTGATCAAGTTCATGAAGAAAGGCCAACGATTTCTGCCTCGTTGACATGAATAGCTATGACACAGTTTATCTGAATGATCAACGCCACCTTTTGTGCTGTTATAAAATGTATTGATTACATCTTCAGAACCCACACTTTTGATCGACAGCGAACGAATCATGTTTGTGTTTCTTAGCTTATATACACATATACACAAATTCTTTCTTTTTTATTCTTTGCTACATTGCTGAATCTACTCTATATACACCGTTTTATAACGCAAAATTCAGAATGTGCACTGTTGACAGTTTTGAATTGTTTTATTTTTTACTGTTTATATGAGATTTTCATGCATTTTGTATGGGCGGTCCAATGGACCGCCACTATACGTTCTAGGTGAGATTTGGTTTTATCAAATGTCCACAACATATACAATTATTTTATGATAGAAACAGTATGCACATGAATTATAATTTTCTGTACGAATAATCTGCCCGAGAAATTTTGAATTTTTTTAATTTACTTCGATTTTTATTCAATTTTTTCCGCCTCTATACCTAGGAGGGTTAAAAAAATAATCGAAATTCAAAAAATTGCATAGTTTACTAAAAAAATGCTATTGACAAAATTGGAGAACAATCGAATCCATTGTTTAAACTGCTATAAAATTGCTATAAACGAAGAGAGAGATAATTTTTTTGTCAAATTTCTGTTTTCGCGTACATCTGTGTTTATAATTAACCCTAAAACCGTCCTTCTGCAATCCACCTTAATCCCGTCTTTGGGGGCACTCAGTGCCCGTAGTGTATTTTGTATGAAAAAATTAAAAAAATTGAAATTTTTTTTGGAATTTTTTCGATATTTCGAGAAATCTTGTGTCTAATCGTAAACTAAAGACATAAATGTGCGCATCGGGTCGGCAGCTACGTTTTGTATATTGTGCTGACAAAATAAGTTAATATTGGCTGAACAAATTTTTACTAAATTGTATCACTTCGTCTTGGGGGCACTCAGTGCCCGTTAGTGTATTTTGTATGAAAAAATGGAAATTTTTCAATTTTTTATTTTGAATTTTCTCGATATTTTGAGAAATATTGTGTCATTTCGTAAACTAAAGACATAAATGTACGCAGCAGATCGGCAGCTACGTTTTGTATACTGTGCTGACAAAATATAATAAATATTGGCTGAACAAATTTTTGCGATACCGATGAATTCGACCAGTTTCATTTTCAAAATGGCATTTTACACTGTTCGCCTTTAAGTTTTCTCTGTTAAATTTATCTGAGTATGGAAATTCACATATAAATGAATTGAACACGAGACATGTTTGTTGTGTATATGTACAAGTAAATCGAAGCCTTTCAATGCAAAACACAATTTCGACAGAATTTGTTTATAATAAATTATTATTCTTATTTGAATGTCACACGGAACACCGAACAACGTAACAAGTGTATATATGTTTGTATATGAGAACAATCGATTCATTCGTGCACAAACATTTTTTACAATTCAGCAATTTTCCCATACAAAATATATGAAAATATACGTCGGGCACTGAGTGCCCCAAAGACGAAATGACCATCTTTTTTTTGCCGGCCATTTTTTCGAAAACCATGGCGTGAATAGATGCATATTATATATTTTTGAGTAGGAACAGAGGCCAACAACACGAAAAAAATCGGGGTTTGGTGATGTTTTATGAAAAAAAATGGTTTAATTTTAGTTTGAAATTTTGCTCGGGCACTGAGTGCCCGATGGACGGTTTTAGGGTTAAACAACTGCTTAATTTTCACTTGTCAAATGACCGGCAAATGAAAGCCTGAACCCTGCTGAATATATTTTAATTGATAAATAGAATCATTTGTTTTCAATTATTGTATATATTTTGGACAATAATTTATACACCCTGCCTAAAGGCAGGGCTATGCACTAGAGGGTTAAACTAATAACTCATCATGCTAATTCTCTGAACACAATTCCATGAAAAAAAAAAGTTAGATTGTATCAGCATGCACATCCATTCCATAGAACTACGAAAAGAATATTCGAAATTCTTGTTTCGATTATGAAATTAAAAAATGTTGGAAATTACACATTTAATCTACGTTCCATACTCAGAAATTGAACAGTGTAAACACAAATGTTTGTTGTGTGAAACGTCGAATTACCCACACTACAATAACAATGATGTGAATTCGACATTTTACACTGTGTGTGTATAACGTCAGTGCAAACCGTCATTTTACACTTTGATTTTGTAAGTTCAGTGTAAAATGATTTTTCGTAAAAAAAACTATTTTTTTCAAATGATAATTTTTTTTTCATGTTTTTATTTTATTGTTAAATATTCAATGAAAGATTTAAAATATAATTTGATTTGAAATTGATGTGATTTATAGTGATATTTTGCTCTAAAAAAAGTTTACCGGTGTGTTGTAAAAACATAAAAAAATCCGTATCTCACGCTCATATTTGCGATAATTTTTATTTGTTTTTCATCATTTAATCGATTTTGCATATTGAAAGAGCCAGAAGAAGTGATATAATTAAGTTTCAAGCGAAGAACGAAATGATTAAAGTGTTGTTTTTGTGTATGAAAATGTGCGACGGTTCATTCAGACGTCTTTGTTGTGTGTTCAAATAAACATAAGTTGAGATTGAAAAAAAACTGTTAGTGAAACGTCAGTGTAAATGGGCGAAATACACAACAAACATTTGTGTTTACACTGTTCAATTTCTCTGAGTATGACACGAAAATAATCACTGAACTGAGCCAGAGCGTTAAATTTTTTAACGTTAACATGGATAAAAAAAAACGTTACATATTTGCTTCATGCAATATATTATTGGACGGTTTTTGTTGTTTTGAAATTCAGAGTTTATTGTTGCCTTTAAAAAATTTAACAAGGATAACTGGTCAAAAGAATTTCACAGGAAAAAAAAACATAAAAAATTGAATGACTATTCTATATCTGTACAAATTGTAAGCTTTTTTTGACTTGGTAGTCAAACGAGATTAAAGCATTCGAAATGAAACTCAAAAGAATAACTTGTTAACCCAGACTTTAACAAGCGGCATGAAAACAGAATTATAAGTCGCTGAAGTTAACTAGACAAAAATAAAATATGCCTACAGCGGCAATAATTGTACGCACACGGGTTAGAATACGGTTTATCCAAAGCACATTCATACATAATATACGCTGTCAAATGGATGACAGATATTTTTCAAACTTCAATTGATCAACTACAATAAATAAACATTACTTACAAGTAATTTAATTAAACCATTTTAATAATAACTTTTGAACAATCATTAAACAAACAAATCTAATAGTAAAAACGTCTTTTAATTTGTGATTTGTTTGTCATCGTTAATGCACAGTCTAACTAGTGTTGGATCAATGGTGCGAAAGCGATGAAGAGCTATTGCTCCTTTTTTGTCGTATATCAACATTTTTATTTTATTTATATTTAATTTAATGTAAGAAATAAACTTTCATCATATCATTGATAGCTTCAAAATGTATAAAAACAAAACAATTCTATTTCTATTTGATAATTGTTGATATGTCCATTGTTCCGCTTTTTCGGATTTCGTGTATCTAATTACTTTGTTGATGCATCATATGAGAGTTTATTTTAGTGATGGGACATCATTCATCAAAACAAATCTCAAGAAATTCATGTGTTATAAGAGTATCATATTAAAGAGAAACATATTAAAGAATTGAATTTTTTCCAAAAAAAAAAACGAGAAGATTTGCTTTGGGTTTTCAAATTCGAGTGAGCCAATTTCCAGCTATATCGGACTTGGATTTCATTATCCTCTGGCGATTATTGTAAATGGTATGTGCAATTGTGCATACTGTGTGGGCTGCCCATTTTCAAAATTTCGTATGCGATTATATGTACAATCACGATAGTTCCAAATCGACTTTGTTAGATTTGAGGGGTCGAATTTACACTTTTTTGGTCCAAAATTTGTGAAAAAAAATTTCATGCTGATTCCGAATTTCGGGGTTTCAGGTCAAAAAAATCATATTTTGGGGGTCTTTGACCCCCCGACCCCCTTAAGGGGTGGGGGGACTTGAAGGGCAGGGGTCCTAAAAAATTTCTCTTGTCATTCTGAATAACTTTGTAGTACATTATTTTTTGATCCGATGAACTTTTGAAAAATTTGGGGCACCCCCACCTGGGGAAAAATTCAAAATTCTGCTCAGATAGAAATTTTCTATTTTTTATCCCCAATATACCCCCCAAAGGGTTTTACAAAACTCCCACCCCCTAAGAGTGAGCCTATTATATGCGCCACCCTGTATATTGGAACGTTGTGCAGGTAAATCTTAAGAATTAAGGTGCTACACGACACAATCCTTAACAATCTGTACAGAAACGCATCTGATGTGTAGAATATACGGAAGTGCATTTTGCATTTGAAATGATAGCAGTGATGGTTTTTTGCTGTCTGAATAGTGCTAGATATTCCAGCTGCCCAGATGCTGCTTCGACGCTGCGAATATCTAGCGCTATTCAGACAGCAAAAAACCATCACTGAATGATAGATAAAGACAAAACATTTAGTCCCATTGTTTTCATTACATTTCTTTATAAGCAATAGATTAATCAATTTCTCCTTCCGTACATAAGCATCGTTGAATTAAAAAGAAAAAAAGAAAAACAAAATTCAATTGCGGCCAGAAAATGATGATATGTACATTAAAAGTATACATTTGTTTTTGCAGTCGATGCGAAACGATCTTACATGTCGGGTGGTTTAGACGAAAATGTTCATTAGATTGTTTTTGTCGATGATACTGCCTTTTCTTTTCCAATGCAATGTACATTGTCATATTAATTGCATAAATTGTCACCCGACCGATCAAATTTAATATTCTACAAACAGTAAATGAGGAAGATTTAATGTACCAATTGAATATCTTGTGTGTTTAAAAAGAAAAAAAAAAGACTTCATACATACATACACACAGAAATACATATAAATATATTATAAATAATGATGGTTGACTTGAAAATGAGATGTACCAGATAAATAAACATTTTATTTTTGGCCAATCAAGATCATGAAATAAATAATATAGGAAGAAATGATTACAAATTTACTGAAAGCTCACTAGAAGATTACAATAATAACAAAAGACTTTGATAATGGCACATCAAATGAGTATTAATTGTCTTGTTTATCAGAGAATAAAGAAATCAACTTTAACAATTCATATTTATATGTATATTCGACGATGACAAAAACAGCAAGAACAACAACAATAATAAAAACTATCCGATCACAAAAATAAAAATGTAGTGAACGCTTCTTACTATCAGAAAATTCGAATTTCTACCCAAAATTATCTACGTACATTTGATGAAGTATCCAGAGACATTGTTGCAGTCTCTTAAATTTGAATACATCATCTTCGATAAACTTTCTTACCTTGATAGGATCCATAATAATCGTGTCTAGACAATATTTAACAAAATCACAAGCATATTCTGTGTGAGAATTTGTTAAAAATCGCATTTTCTGCACGGGGACCTTAGACCCGAAAATTCAATAAATACCGAGTGCCCGATCTCGGGGAATCACGGGTTTCGATAAAAAAAAATTAATTTCGGGTCGGGCTTCGGTCGGACTCGGGCAAGACACAGGAAATTCGATCGGGCCTCGGGCCGATTTTTCCATCCCGTTGCGACCTCTGCTGCACATCAAATGCATTCTTCAAATTCATCTGAGCGCTGCAATGATTCTTTAATTGCAATGATCATAGAAATTTGGGTAAAAGTTTTTGAATTTCCATGACTTACGAGATCTAGCACCGTAATACAGTTCCACTTGGCATTTTTATATTTTTTGAGCATGTATAAAACACGCAATGGAAATTACTACGTAAAAATAACTTGATTTAATCGAGAAATTGAGAACCAAATAATATATAAATAACAAATTTTACAATTCGTGACCATAAATAACCTGCTAAATTTATTTTAATGATAATTATAAACTTACAAACAAAAATGAATCTAGACAATGCAAATTTAGACAGTAATTAACACAGATAAAAAAGGACTAAAATTATTGTAAGAAAACAAATTTAAATTGAATTTAATAATGTATGTAAATCAAAAACAAAGAAGAAAAAATAATAAAATAAACCATGATGCATGGATAAATTATATCGTATACGATTATTATTTATGGGAAAGCTTCTTGGCGTACGCATCTCTAATTTCATCAGTTTGGGATGCCCAACGTTTTTTTTTTTTTCATATTTCAACATCGGTTTTTGCACCATATTCTACGATTCGTGCTGTTAATAAATTGGCGACTTACCTTAACATTTGGTTTTTTTTACAATATATTATGAATTTCATGAGGAGCCCTCTCTGGATTTGTTGAAACTGAATCGTGGATGGATCAACTTTGAAAAACATTGAGTACTTTATTATTTCGTTTGTCGATATAAAAAAAAATTGTTAATCAATGTAAAACGGTTTCCATTGTGAGGTCGTTATAATTATTATTTTATTAGTATCCTTAAAAAAAAACAATGTTCATTATTTCATTTGCATTTAGTACATTTGAATGAACAGTTCTGTTGGAAACTTTCACAGACTGTGTTTTACATTTTTATTTTCGATGATGTGTTTTCGACTATTTATTCTATTTTACTACACATAATGATAATGACATTTCTCTCCTATTATTGAACCGGTTGACCGGACATTTTTTGATCGACTTTTGCCTTTCGAGCCCTAACAGGACGTGGAAATACTTGAGTTACACTATTGAAGTCTGAATTGTGGAAAATGCGAGCGTTTGATATAGCTCCAAATAATGGTTGGGATCTTTGTGCCGCATTGTTGCCGGGACATTGCGCACACGGATTATTGCTACCTTGTTGTTGTTGCTGTTGTTGATATGGATAAGGGGTACCGTATTGATTACCATTTCCTCCATTTTGTCCATTGCATGGAAAGAATACAATTGGAATATATCCAATCATTCCATTATTTGGTGGATTTTGTTGTGTTGATGGGTCTGTTTGGCTCTGTGATTGGCCATTTGATGGAGATAAGCCAGTTTGCGATTGTTGACTACCACCTGATGGTTGAGTTGGTGAGGTTTGTTGGCCAGTACCTTGTGTATTTGCAATGTTTGAGTTAATGATTTTGGTCGAGCAACAGTTGCTATTGAACAATTGATTAATCAATGATGGATTTTGTATCAAATTTTGAAAGTGTTGACTTAGGGCTGGATTTTGAAGAGTATTCTGAATGGCCATCGGAAGTAAATCAATGGGGAATGGGAGTACATACAAATTTGTATTGGAAATTTCTACCAAATTTGGATTGTATTCATTATCAAAATTAGTAATTGATCTTGATGCTGATTGTTGGTTCAAGGTTGGTTGGGGTTCAAATTGGGTTGGATCCGGAAAATTGTACATACCTTGTTGTGATCCTTGTGTAGGTTTTTCTTGTTGTGATCCTCCTTGCTGTGGTCTTTGTGGTTTCGCTTGTGGATCTTGATTACCCTGCGTCGAACCCTGCGGTCTCCCTTGTGGATCATAATTTCCTGAACCTTGTTGTGACTGCTGTGAACCGCCCTGCTGTGGTTTCTGCGGTCTTCCGTGTGGATCTTGATTACCCTGCGTCGTACCTTGCGGTCTCCCTTGTGGATCATAACTTCCTGAACCTTGTTGTGACTGCTGCGAACCGCCCTGTTGTGGTTTCTGCGGTCTTCCGTGTGGATCTTGATTACTTTGCGTTGAACTCTGCGGTCTACTTTGAGGATCATAAGTTCCTGAACCTTGTTGTGACTGCTGTGAACCAACCTGCTGTGGTTTTTGTGGTCTCCCGTGTGGATCTTGATTACTTTGCGTTGAACCCTGCGGTCTACTTTGAGGATCATAAGTTTCTGAACCTTGTTGTGACTGCTGCGAACCATCTTGCTGTGGTTTTTGTGGTCTCGATTGAGGATCTTGATTACCTTGCGTAGAACCCTGTGGTCTTCCTTGTGAATCACCGCCCGTTTGTTGTTGTTCTTGTGGCCCAGAGGTGGGACGAGGTTGTTGTTGCTGCTGCGATAATCCACCAATTGGCGATCCAGATTGTGGAGACGAAGTCGGTCTGGTTGATTGTTGTGTCTGTTGTGATGGTCTTTGAGGCTGTTGCGTTGAATGTGATCCTGAAAAACACACGCAATTATATAAATTCTATTAATTAAAATATTTACCACTGAAAAAAAAATTAATGAATTTACCTGGACCTGGAAATACAGGATATGTGGTTACTTGTTGAGTTACTGAGAAAAGTGAGTTACATTATCTGATAAAACGGCCGAAAATTTTCGGTGAAGGGAATTCATAAATGTTTACCTGGTCCATGAGTTGGTCTAGTTGGATGAACAGTATGTGTTGGTTTTTGAGTTTGTTGCTGTGGTCTTTGTGTTTGTCCACCTTGCTGTGATGACTGTTGTGGCTTTTGTTGCTGTGGATCACTTCCGTGTGATGGTGAAGTTTGTGTTGATTGTGATTGTTGATCGGGTCTCGATGGAACTATTGTGATGCGGTTCAATTTTTAATGATTCAGATAGATTAAATTTTTTAATGAAATGAAACCGCTACCTCTGATCAATTCAAATTACAGTAAATGAAACACCATTATATTGAGATAGCAAAATAGACTTTTTTAATGTCAATCTTTGTATGCATTTCGAGCAGTTTACTGCTCATCATCAGCAACACGACTAAAAATCAAAACATACAATCGTCAAATCATAATCTTAAAAGTGCGAACAAAAATCAAAGTACAAGTGTATTGCCGTCGGCATTTTTTATATAGAAGAAAGAGAGAAACATATGAAAGAGTAAGATATACATCGCAAACAAACACCTCTGCGTTCGGAATGTATTTCACATATCAAAAATGAAGACAAATAAACACCATTTAAGTTAGAGTGAATAGGTCAGATTCAATATTTCCTAAATCCAAATTTAAAGCATCATCGTCTTTGTGTATATACATGCTCTCGTACGCATCCAGTTTGCGCTCATCGTTGACTCGTTTTAATAATTTAACGTTATCTATTGTTGTACTAAAGTGTTGGTGTTCCAGTGCATGCAATGCGAAAGCCGACTTTCTCGGTTCATTGTTCTCGATGTATTTGAGATGTTTGCATAACCGAATTTTTTTGACGATTGTATGTTTTGATTTTTAGTCGTGTTGCTGATGATGAGCGGTAAACTGCTCGAAATGCATACAAAGATTTACATTAAAAAAGTCTATTTTGCTATCTCAATATAATGGTGTTTTATTTACTGTAATTTGAATTCAGATAGATATTCAGTTTATCTCACTCAAAATTTTCCAAAATCAACCACTTTCATTTCAAGTTGGAAATGCTTTTTTCGATCTTAATCAAAAACATAAATAAATCGCAAATGTGTGTGCCAAATGTTGTAAATGTCAGAAATAAATTTTAAATTTTGAAGTTCTTTTATGATTGAAAGTGATGATGGTGATTGTTTCTTTAATTTTCTAAAACTATTCTGATTTCTTACCATTTCCACCAGAAACTGGATGGCCATGACCTGGATATGGACAAGATTGATGAGATTGATCTTTACATTTTACAAATGAATGAAGAATGAGCACATTCGACCATAATGATGAACGGTAATAAATCCAAAACAAAATGTATCACATATTGGTGCGATTATGGATGGTGATGATACGAAAAATTAAAAAAAAAAAACAATGAAATGTCTGAGTGATTTTTACATTAGACGAGTTGTATGAAATAGCAATTATGAATATGTAAATGAATATTCATTTGAATGTTTGCCATTTTTATAGTACCTGGTTGGTATCCTTCTCCGTGTGGACCGTTCACTGGCTCATTTGGCCCTGCATAAAATATAATTCATAAATAGTAAATATAACACTGAAAATTATGAATGATTTACCGTTTGGATCATTTGAACCTTCATATGAGCCTGTAAAATTGGATAAAATAATGCAAACAATGTTTTTTTTTTGAATTAGAAACTAAAATATTGTTTTAAAAACCTTCATATGAACCTCCTTGGTTATTATACGAACTACTGCCGCTACCACTTGTTGAAGAACCTTGATGTGATTCACTATAACTGGAACTGCTCGAACTCGAACCTGTTGCGTTAACAGAATATACATAACCCAACTTTTATATTTTTTTTAAAGAAAAGCTTGCAGTAAATTAATATACGCTAAAAGATTACGAATATGTAGCATATGATTTTAATTAAATACCTTGTTGAGGTTTGTTTGTTTGTGAACCACCTTGATTTGAATTATTACCACTGCTGCTGCTGCTACCACTTCCGCTTTGTGTTTGTTGTGATTGATTTGATCCTGAATTGATGTATTTTTTGTGAATATCACTCATATTTATTCGATGTCAGGGAAGACTGAGTGCATGAAGAATTCTATATAAACATTCTTAACTTCGAAATCGGAAATGTTCTTTATAAAAACTCATTGTACTCCGTTTTCTCTGATTTAATGTCATTAATTTGATATTTATGTCATTCAGTGCAATTGCTTAATTAGTTTGCAAGCAAAAATAAAAATATAGCTATCTAGTTGGTAATAATAGTAACTAGATATATTTCAATTATGTTAGAAGTGAAGAGCAGAAGATAGATTACAAACCATCAGAACTTGATGACGACCAACTCCAACTACTGCTGGATGAGCTCGATTGGCCATTATTTGGATCATTGCTTGAGCTGGAGCTCTGACTTTGAGAGGAACTACCTGGTCCACCATAAGACGCTTTTTATTTTATTTTTAAATTAGCAATATGTAAATGTTATTGTATACTGGCTTCTCAATTATTAATTATTGAAAATTATTCTCGTTAATTATTTTACAAAGCTTAAAAAGTATCCACTAATTGCAGTTAAAATCAAATTAGACATTCTTTTGAAGCATTAGAACAAGCTGAAGCATTGATACACTTTTTATTCACTCATTTTACCTTGATTTTGTGATGGATAACCGCTACCTTCTGATTCTTGATTTCCAGTTGGTCGTTGATTGTTACCTGTATCGAACATATATCATTTTTAGATCAACATTTGGGAAAATAATATAGTCGATTGATTTACTTGATTGTCCATGTTGATCTCCGGGAGATGGTTGATGTTGATACTGATTACTTCCAGAGCTCCATTGTTGATTCTGCTGACCATTGCTTGGTTTTTGTTGGTGCTGTTGTGGTTGTTGTTGTTGTTGTTGGTGGTGCTGCTGCTGCTTTTGTTGGTTTTCATCTTTGTCGCCTACGAATAACATGAAATGCATATGAAATGATTTTGTAGAATGAATTAAAATGGGCTTCAAATCTAAAAAATAATGTGTTTTTTTTTTAAATATTACCATGTGAATGGGTATGGGTGTAAGTAGTCATTGATCCATGATGAGAGCTCATATACTCTGTGCTGTGACTATGACCGCCACTGTTGCTGCCACTTGAACCTTGTGAATTAGATGAACTAGAGCTTCCTGATCCAGATTGATTACCTGAAGATTGACTTTCACTACTACTGGAAGAATGTGAGCTAATAAGGTAACGAATGAAAAACACAATGAATGTCAAGTTTTCTGTCAGAAATTGGAATGAAATTCAATTTCACTTCAGCGACTATTGAATTATCTTCATAATACAAACTTTACAGTGCTACTGACAATAATGACAAATAGAAATGAAAATTCTTATTACCTAGATTGACCTCCACTACCATTTGATTGATCGCCACTGCTACCTTGGCCGTGACTATGTGTTGAAGTAAATTCGGTAGAGTGTGAACCATGGTGGGATGAGAAATGTAAATCTTTAGCATCATCAATGTATAATTCTTCTTGGTATCCATTACTGTTAGATTGCTGATAGTTCTGTGCACTCGACGATGTTGTATATTGAACATTGTAATTTGAATCTGCTAAATAAAATGAATAAAGTTGAAACTATGTTGTTAAAAAATATAAATTAAAATACTTACTAAACTGTTCATTATTTGGAGCACTATTGTAATAATTATATTCACTATTTTGAATTGGTTGATTATTTGCCGGATCTTCAGCCAAAGTATCGGTTTTTTGGTTATACTTTGCAATCTGGATTCAATATAAATAATTGTATTAGTTGTAGTTTTAAAAACTTTGTATTATTTCGATAATGAAAGCATACCGGCACGTATGTTCCATCTGTTTGTTTTACCAATGGAACATTTGGAGGAACTCCACCTTTAACCATACCACATCCAATCGGAAAATACAAATCTTGCCAATCGATTGTTCTTCCTCTTCGTTTTTGATTCGCCTCATATTTCAGCGAACTAAAATAATTAATAGTTGTATTAATGCATGTTGAACTCTCTTCGTACCAAAGAGAATTTGACTCACTTGTCATATAATTCGTTTGGATAAATCAATACAGGCTTCAAGGCTTCAACAGTCCGATATCCCTGCGAGTCGGCAACATAATGTGTCGCTCTCAATATACCATTTTGATCTATATAACCATAGCATCCATATGTGACCCCATCTGGTCCTCGAGTTTCATGATGGAATTGACCATCCGTTGACACATCATAACCATAGTTGTATGCGCCTTTGATTAAAAATTTATTTATTTTTCAATCCATGATTTATGGTGGCAAGAGCAAATTAGAATTACTTTCATGCTTAGCATAGCTTTCATATAATTTAAGAAAAAAAATCTTGATAGTTAATACATAACACATTAATAACTTGCAGTGTATTTCAGATTTTTTCTTCTTAAACTTTATGACACAATTAATACAATGAGTCGAAAATCAATGAAATTATCGAAATAAAACTGAACGTGTATATTTTTAATTTTCGTTTGGTTTGAAATGAAGAAGAATCCGTGTATTTTTACTCATTGAAATTAAAATTTTAAACTTACTTCGATCGATATCAGACGTATGGTATTGTGAAAGTCTAGTTTCTGGATTATCAATATTCACCAAAACAGTTCCATCACTATTCTTATAGTCTTTAAATTCTGGTCGATATTCTATCTGGGCATTTGCTGTTAGTGCACTGACTACAACCAAAACCTACGAATTAAAACAACATTTCATAATTTATTTAAAAAGTTCTTTCCAACACGTCGTCTATGCGTTAGATTTGATTGTTCAATCGGCGACTTTGAATGGCTTTCATGTAATTGCAATTTGCACAAAAACATTTTTTTTATTATTTAATGTGGTAGCGTAATTAGACCGTACGCAGCACAAATGGGTCATATATTTAAACACGACATTTCCAATAATTATGATTTCACATTACATCTAAAAACATCTATCATAATAATACCCAAATGGTTAAATAGCGGACTTACACGGAGTATGAGCGGAGCTGTGCGGAGATAGACGAAAACAGCATACAACGGATGAGAGTAAATCGGATGAAAGTAAATTAGTGTGCGCGCAATGGTTACTATGCGTACGCATATTCTTAATACAATTCTCGTCTATCTCCGCACAGCTCCGTTCATACTCCGTGTAAGTCCGCAATTCAACCATTTGGGTATGAAACGATATCTGACCACACACGCAGAATTAATGAAAAGCCACAAAAGTGTGATGATAACCTGCTCTTTTACAACGATTCACAAATGTTTTGAAATAATTCCACTGTTAATAAAAATCCACAAATAAATGTTATAAATAATATATTACTGACAATATTCTTTTTTTGATTTGTCATTTAAACATTGAATATCCTACATTTGTGATAACAATATACAACCATATATTTCATTTTTAATTCTTTCAAAATCTAAAGACATATATATTCAACACTCAGTTAAATTCAAGCATACAGTAAACCTAAACATGTAGCCATTTATATACAACTCTACTGAGTCACGTCGAATTTAAAATGCACTTCTCGTCGTTGCACATTTTGCATACCCGATTAAAGTTTAAAGATTTTCAAAGATAACTGTGTTGAAGATCTCATGCCTTTCTTATCAGATATGCCCAAAGTAAGTGTGAAAAAATATACATTTTCTTCGAATTCACTTATTGAATTTATAATCTTTATTATCCGATGAATTTTATCAGATAAACTTCATGCCCGTCGAGATTATAATCCGTCTAGAGTATGCTGTCAGATCAAATATATACCTCATATATGTCAAGTGCTAACTTCAGATTAATATTACCTCGCATTAATTACACAAACGGACTTCGTTGGTCTGTTATAAATCAAAGAATAATTTACTTTGAATACTAAAACATGTCCATGGTTTTCAAATCACTTTTTTACTCTTTTTTTTCTTGTTGGATGACGAGACGAGAAGGAATGAAAGAAATTTATCAAAATGACAAATTGTAATGAGTTAAATATCATGGAAAGCAAACGGCACGCATTTAAAGGATTAACGAGCGAATTACTTGTGAAGTTTATGTCATTTGAAAAACAAAAAATTTAATATTTTTACTCATGACTTACAATTCTGAATTCGGAAGCAATTAGATTACTATGAAAAACAGTTGGATACATCGTCTCACTTTTGTCATTTATTGCTGATATCGTCTGTGGGAACTATATTTTTTAGTAAAAATTCACTTTTTTTTTTAATTTTCTAGCCGAAATTGCCGTAGCGTTATGCTGTTATGAAATCACTTTTTTATTTATATTAACTTTTGAAACTGTGATGAAACCGTATTCCATTGTGTATTTGTGGGTGTGTGTGCGTAGTTTTAGCATATGTCATTTGATATTATCAAATTGATAATAATATATTGGTTTCGTATAATATATCATATATAATATATGCATATCTTTTCCTCTCTCTATCACTAACATATGTCCTTGAATTTTCAGATTGTGGTTTATTATTCAGTGACACATATCCATAGGTGGAATTTATATTCTATTATTGGTACTAATTTACCGGTATTTTAGTTAAAATAATGTTGTTCAAACTATTCTCTTCTTAATCCATTTCAAAATCTATTGGTGACATTTTTTCAAATACATTTAATATTACTTTCGCTTTTCATATTATGTTGTTGCATTTCAACTGAGCATATGCATTTTATTCAATAATTGCAGTTATCAAGACCCATAATTATAATTAAAAAAAAAACAATGAAAACTTCTTCTTCAAATACACACATTTTTTCTCTCATTTTACTCAAAAAATATATACAAGACTGTAACATAACTCGATTTTAAAAAAATCGCTTTAAAAATAGAGGTGACTAGAGTGATGTGATATATTATATAAAAGCGTCATTGAATAAATAAAAAAAAAAGAAACAAATGTGACTAAAGATACATGCAATGTGATGATACTATATGATTCATTGTCTACCTTGATCGATCGGATTTATGTTAACCTTTACCGAATAGCATCATATAACTAAACATAAAATTTGATGATTTACATTCAAATAGATAGATATCTTTACATATATATGTTCGTTTGAATAATAGATTAAGACGAAGAAACTACTGAAAAACTTCAATAATAAGCAACGAACTCTCTTGTAAATGTGTTCATAATTGTTCTGTCTAAACATAAAAAATAAAATAAATTATTTAAAAAAAAAATCTTACCAAATAAATCAAATAACACTTCATATTGGGTTTGTTAATTTGTTAACGCACTTTTTCTCGGTAACGTTTTGATTGAGCAAAACGCGCGAACTTTTAAAATTAACTGATATAAAAATGGCACAATATTATTACACTAGTACTGAACAATAATAGTCAATATATTTTATTGAATTTATATTTTGTTTATCGAATATTACAAGAGCTCTATAATATATTCAACATATTTTAATATAATTTAAGAAAATAGTATGCGAAACAAAAAAAAAACCTATAATATAATCGACACGCAACCGACCTAATATTTGATATGAAGAAGAGATTCTTTCGTCTCAGCCTTTTCTACGAAACTGGCGAAAAATCGGCAAAGAAACTCATTATAAATGAAAAATATCATCAACGCGTGCTGCTATTTAATTCTATCTATTTCATCGAAGGTTCTCTCTTTTCTCGCTCTCATCACACCATAGCAATATGTGGACACAGAGAGACGGCCTGTGAGCGTGTCATATTTACTATTGCTCTTTTTTGTTGATGTTCTTGTTTTTTTTTGTACCACGGCTGCTGTTGCTGTTATAAAGATGATAGCATTATTGTCAACAAACAAACAGACATATAAAAGATTGTGCTCATACACGTCAGTAAATCCATGTTCGTGAAGCATCGTAAAAGGAATGCACCACAGAGTTAAACTATTACTGATATCTGATTTGTGTGCTATGTTTTTTTTTTATTGCCTTTGTTCTCCCGTAATTCGTGCGTTTTGATTTCGACAGCACATATATGAAAACGCAGGCAACTGTTGCACTGCATTCGATTCATATTCTTGAGGATTTTTTTTTCATCAACATTTCCATAAAATGAATTAATTCAATGCTGAAGATTGTGGGGAAACACGCATCAAGCCAAGGTAACTTTGATTAAATCTATTAAGGATAAAAACACTCAAAAATAAAATAGCGAGAAATATTAAGTGTAATTTATTTATTTTTTGAACATACATTTTCACAGTTGGGCTTATATAAATCTTAAAATGAAATTTACACATGGCCAATTTTTGTAAACCTTCAAATAAATTGTCAAAATATAACGTTCAACACTGATATTGTAAAGTACTAATCATGAATCTTGTCTTACTAATAGCTTCTTTGGTTTTTTCAAAAAGTGAATCCTTTCTTCTTTTTGTTCATTTTATAATTTCGTTCCATACAAATCAAACATGTTTTAAAAAAACGATTCTTTCGGAGAATACTATTCCGGCGATGTTAATTGAGTTTGGTTTCAACAACGAAAAATTGCAAAATAGATAAGTTTTCAAAAACGCAATTAAATGGAAAAACGATGTAACCAATAACAATATGCGATTACAATAAGTTATGCCTAGTAATACATTGCGCCTATGCCAATTTCAGAACATGTAAGAAGAAATATGTATTACTTTAGATGCATTATTAACTTTAATTTGTTTTCAATGTGCAGTCGAAAGGAACTGATTGATTTAAAACTGTTTGCGCGTCCCTTTTGGAGGATGAGACATGGTAAAAAAATTGTATGAACGCAATCAGCATGAACAATGATTTTAATGCTTAAAAATGCATCGCTGATAAATAAAAAGTGTTATTATGTGTTCAATGTCGTATTGTTTTCATTTGTTCATGCAAAATAATGCTTCAACCTTTACACGGTAGGATTGATGTAGCAAATTCTGTATCTGTTTTTTTATTTAAAAAAAAAAACAATCAAAATGACTTGCTGCATTTTTATCATTTACTTATTTTACTTACATATTTTATCCATGGTATGAATCAGTCGACATTCTGCATGGCCATGCGTGATGTCTGCATATATATATATATATATATATATATATATAGATATAGAATTGGATGTCGGTGTCACTTGGTAATCGATATATGACAATAATCCGCATAATGCGGAATGGGGTGTTGGTGTTTTGGTTGAACGTACTACATGTGAGCAGTTTAAGTTGAACAAAGTTTGCTCTACTTATTCTCAACAATATAAGACATACAACATTATATTTGATGTTTTTTTTTATTATTTTGACGGCAAACGTCCAAAAGTGGCCGATCCCATTTATACATTATAATCCGCGGTAATTTTCGTTGTACATTTGTCAGTCAAATCAACAATTGCAACTGCGTTCGCACTCGTTTTAATTCCTGTGTACAAATTGAAAGAAATGATTTCTAGAACACATCGATTTTCTATTTAAGATCGCAAAGTCTAGAGTCAATGTTTTCTTTTATTTTGCGTTGAGCACATCTTGCATAAATGATTGCATTGTAAAATCGATAAATTGATATAATAATCATATATTATGTGGATAAAGGCATTGCAGGCATTGAATACGCACCTTTATTAAGATTAAACTAAGCGTACGGATCAAGATTTTTAATGCTTTCTCTATTTGTCCATCCAGCATCTGCCTCATTTAATTAACCATCTTAGACAAAGGAACATTTTACTCTTTAATGTACACTTGTGGATTTGTGCAACCAATACCAATTTGAAATTTCCGTTGCAATAATAATCGCGTGTACGCACCACAAAACGACACAAAAATATGTTTTATTCTAAACGTTGAAGTGAAGTCTTTGTATTTTCTGCAAAATAAATATTAATCTAGCGAATATACAAGCTTGTCGCTGATTTGATGATCTGAATGCAAAAGCCATGTTTTTTTCTTCTTCAAAAGTACGCACAGGGTACAAAAAAACACGTACATCAAATTTATGGATGTACATTGTGTATATTAAGGTGAATCGAATTTTTTGACATTGCTTCTAAACGGCAACATGAATTTGTGCTAATTCACAAACACAATGCACCCTAATACACATATTTAGATTATGGATTATTTCTTTGTAATATATGCTCTGATCGCAGTTGCATACGGGTGATAATAATTATAGACCTGGGAAAATTATACATTCTATTGATGGCCAAGCAGAATGTATGTACTTTTCTGTGGAACGTAATAGAATTGAAAATCATACGTGTTCGACTATACGACAATGTCGAGATTGTGTGTACATCACATAATGCCAAGCAAAGGAATGCAAAACAATGGTATATTGTTATCAATCTTATGACTTAATCTATTTAATGTGATGAATGTAGTTATTTTGCTGGTACAAACATATAACGTTCAAATAATTTGTAGTGGGTATTTTATTGATAATGAACGCTTCATCGGATGGTTTTTGGTAAGAAAGACAACGTTGCATTTTGATATGAATCATTACACACTCCTACAAAGAAAATTGTAAATTTAACTTCTTGCTAAATCTGCCCTCGTTAATCTCCATGACCATTTGAATGCATAGAGAATCATTAATTCTGAATATTTGTTTTTTTTTAAATGAATTTTATATTAAATGCATGTGATTGGCTTTAGATTGGCCATTTGTTGTATATTAAATAATATAAAATATTAAAACAAGATTTGTATTATTACGGTGACTTCAACGCATCTTCTGATACTGATCTTTTATAGTAAGAACTCTGCAAGTAAAAGTTGGGTTAGATGTAGTTAAATTCATTTTAATTTTGTTTACTCTTTTCAACGAATACGTACGTAATTTTGATGTGATAAAGACGTACATAAAATACTTGAGCTGTGATTTGCTTTCGTTTTATCCTTTCATTTATTTAAATTGTAACATATAATTCATATCCTTCAGCCAAATAACAGTAAATAGATCCTCGTAGTTTTTTTTTTGTTTAATTTTGTTATGTAACAAAATATATTTGATATTATACTCACAGAAAAAGTGGAGGCGGTTTTTCCGCAAATTATTGTAGCAACAGCAGAGCTGCAATAAAAATGTGTTTCTTGTAGCTTATTTTGACATCTACGTACAAGTGTGTGTGTTTTGACATTTTACATTATTTGTAGCATCTGTATAAACTAAAAAACCAATGTGATGTTAATAAAACATTTTAATATTTATTTTTTAAATAATTTTAGAAATGTCATTTTGACAATTTAAATTCGTGATTTCAGAGATGAAAAAAGTGTGAAGGATTATTTTCCACCGAAATTTTCAACCAAATTCGACACAATTGCTCTGCACAAAGACAAGCCGAGATTCTGGAATCAAGATAATCATTAGCTTACCGAACTAAATGGCAGGATTATTTAACTTGTAAATATATGAAAAAAATTTGATATTCATTACTTTTTTAAAATTATTAGTGATGTCGCTTTGACATTTTTGAATCTTAATTTCAGAGATGAATGTATATAATCTTAGGATTTAAAGAATTTGATTCCAGAATCCGAGTTTAGTTTTCAGACATCAACGTCAGTGATGTTCCTAAACATCAAATGTAGATGGTGTGTTAAAATCGCTATCGCAGACTTATCTATACTTGCACTGACTAATACACATTTAAATACACTTCAAACTAATACATACTAACTGCAATACAAGTAAAATATATTACTTATAATATACGTAAATTTTGAAATACGCTGTACATCTCATTTGATGTTCAGGGCTGTTATTTTCACTCTGTCAGTGCACGCACACAGTAGTGTGCACACTCACACTCAATGTGCGTCGCACACAGTGCTTGTATTTTGAATGTGCACGCACACTTAGTTACAAATTTGCCAACCGCCAAAAATGTCAAACTTGTGACTAAGTGTGCGCGCACATGCAAAATACAAGCATTGTGTGCGACGCACATAGAATGTGAGTGTGCACACTACTGTGTGCGTGCACTGACAGAGTGAAAATTACAGCCCTGTTGATGTTCATAAACACCAAGTTGTATGTGACTAATAAAGTAAATCTGATTTGTACATAACCTCAATGAATGAATATACCTATTTTAAATGTATTGCAATTTGTATTGTATTAGTGTTTGTCAGTGCAAGTGTAGACAAGTCTGCGATAGCGATTTTAACACACCATCTACATTTGATGTTTAGGAACATCACTGACGTTGATGTCTGAAAACCAAATTCGGATTCTGGAATCAAATTCTTTAAATCCTAAGATTATATACATTCATCTCTGAAATTAAGATTCAAAAATATCAAAGCGACATCACTATTAATTTTAAAAAAGTAATGAATATCAAATTTTTTCGTATATTTACAAGTTAAAAAATCCTGCCATTTAGTTCGGTAAGCTAATAATTATCTTGATTCCAGAATCTTGGCTTGCTTTTATGCAGAGCAATTGTGTCGAATTTGGTTGAACATTTCGGTGGATAATAATTCTTCACACTTTTTTCATCTCTGAAATCACGAATTTAAATTGTCAAAATGACATTTCTAAAATTATTTAAAAAATAAATATTAAAATGTTTTATTAACATCACATTGGTTTTTTAGTTTATACAGATGCTACAAATAATGTAAAATGTCAAAACACACACACTTGTACGTAGCTGTCAAAATAAGCTACAAGAAACACATTTTTATTGCAGCTCTGCTGTTGCTACAATAATTTGCGGAAAAACCGCCTCCACTTTTTCTGTGAGTGAAAGAAAACTTTCATCAAGTTTTTCAATACACACTTATTATCACACCCTATGGCTAAAAACTTAATGACTTAATCAACCATTTATTTCACCAGATTGAAAATGCGAACTTGGATAGATAGTCAGTTTCAGCAAACCTATTTTATTCATGATAAACCATTACTGACGATTTTAAATAAGTATGAAGTAGAAATTTAACCAAAAAAATCATATCAATTTCATTCTAAATTTCGCAGTAATAAAGGTGACCAAATGACCGCCAAAATTATAGAATTATAAACAAAATATAAGACGAATCTTTTTGATCTAAGATATGTTGGCCATCTGCTGTGAGCGAGGAATACTTCCTATAGGTACACTATTGTGTTGTTCCCCTGAGACTGAGTGTCGGATATAAGTCATGTGCACTGCAAGTACACAAACACACCGGCGAATACGAACCGTTTTAACATTTTATTAGTTAATTCCCAGTTTCCGCTGTAAACGCAGACATTGTTCTATAAATGACTCGACAAAATATAATTTTAAAAATACATCATTCTGTGCACCACTCACCTCGCATTCTATTGCCATCGTGCCCGTATGCCATTTTGTGCATTAAATGATAATCTTTAATTGATTAATTGTTTTCATTATTTTCTCTTTCGACCATGTAACAAGCAAAGGCCAGCTAATTAAGTATAAGCAACTAGTTTTTAATCAATTAATGGAGTTAAGTAATATTTTCAAGTAATAAGTGGTAGTGCTAAGTTTACACTCTTCGTTTCTTAAGAGATGATATTGTACAATAAATCTTCGATGTGATTGAGTAAATGTTTCTTATTTTTCTCTTCCTTAACTTCCTTTATATTGTCCTCTCGTTCGTTTTGCATAATATCTAATCTATTCACGGTTAATGAATTGGTGCCATGATCGAGATGAGCCTCAATATACGAGGCGTAATGAAATTTTCTATGATCGGTGCATCATCATTTTTCTTTCGCTACTGGCTAATGTCGGCCGATGCTTTCGACGTCACACCATTCTTCATACGTGCATTGCATATTGTGTGTGTGTGTGTGTTAGTGCATATGAATAGTTATTTGCGAATTATCTTGAACAGATTATGATATGATTAAATTGAATTGGTACGAAACAATTTCAAGTTCACCTTACCCAGTTCACAGACGTATTATAAAAATTCTAGATCATTTGGCAAATTGAATTCGTTGAATTCACAAAAATTACATATCCCAAATAAGGTACACATTCAATTAGGTTAACATGAATAATATGAGTTGTGTGGATATTTCACTGGAATTAGAGAAAAAAAAAAAGATTTGGCTCATTCTGATGAAATCATCAAATGTAATCAATTGAAATTGAGAGAATGGGAATGAAAATAAGAATACATGTCGACACAAAATATCATCCATTAAATGTATACGTTTCTACCGCTACGATCTGCAGCTGAAACGGCGGCGTGTTAATTTTTTTACCGATTTAATTAAATAGTATCGATTATGCGGAACGAATCTCTTTACTTATTTAATGTAGTTCTTTATTAAGTTGAAATATGAGTAAAGTGTTTTACTCCTTTTTTTTACTTTCCCACAAAACCGGCATCATTGCGGCACAGTTATAATAATATATTGTCAAACTCCATCGGTGTGGACAGTAAGGTTGTCCACTAATAGCCTAATTAAAGACGCGCTCGTCTGTTCCTACTGGATTTTTTTTCATTTTTCTTTCATTTTTATCGAATGCTATCCTCCTATAAAATAGATTAACGTTGGAAAGTGGTACATGCAGATTAATAATTGAAAAATTTATTTTCCGAAGCTCGCGCATGAGAACTAAACGTAAAACGATGAGTCAAATCCGATGGTAGATATAAGGCCAGGCTCTAAAAATACATATATATATATATAATTTTTTTTCAGTTCCAAACAATCGATTTAACAGTTAATTAATTACTGCAACACACACAAACAACAACGTGCAAGCATACTGTTAAGTACTACTACTTACTGCATAGTTGTCCATCCAGTTGTCTAAGATATTATGACTAGCGTTCACACTTGAAATGCTTAGTTCAAGTACAATAGCATTAGTATCATTGCGGTGAATATAATTACATTAAATGTGCTTGATTATGTATGTGATACATTGTGAATCGGTTATTAAATTTTATATTTTGTATAGCTTTTACTAGCGGTTGGTTCAATCAAAATATCATAGGGGAAAATTGCTGGAAAATGAGATCAAAAAATAATGACCACTAAATTAGACTGAAATGTGTCATCACAAAATCTATAAATATCATCCAGTTGTTCGGATTGTGGATACCAAGAAACGATTCACAGAAACGACGAATGTTAGTATCAAAAATAGAAATTATTCTTTGATGATGATAACTGCTGTAGGTAAATCGATCCTTTTGTGCACCTGAGAAATTCCGATAAAAAAAAAAAAATCAAAATTTTTCTATCATTTTACGAGCGATTAAATGTTCATGTGAGACTTCTTCAAATTGGAAATTAATTTTAATAACAGAATAAAAATAGCGATTAAACACATGGTGGTAATCATGAATGATTTCTTGAATCGATTCGTTCCGTTAGAATACTTTGTGCGCTTGATGCACAAGTCAATGGTGTTTGATGTGTGATGTACACTCATAACATCTGAATATTGATAAAATGATTGAAAAGAAAAAAAATAGAGCGCGGCATATTATCTTGTGATTCGTTTTGTTAATACATGCCGATATGATAATACCAGTGCGTTTCTACGTAAAATTACATTATATCCACCATACAGTGGCCAAATAGCCAGCAACCGGGAACCATAGAAAAAAACTGCTTATGTCATTATTGCATTGTGTGTTCCTTCCTGTCCATTCACATCATATTCATAACTTCTTTTTTTTTCTTTTATTAATGCCATCCATATCAATTCCAATTCGCTTTTTCCTGCCGATAAAGGACGCGCGATTATTATGATAGGTTATAACAATCACATTTTCTATCGCGATTTTGCAGTATATTCAAATGAAGCTGAAACGTCTTCCATTTATTGTCAATACAGGTATACTACAGAACGCAAATGAAAAAGAAAAAAAAACAAAACACATTAACTTACATGTGGGAATCAGTTTGAGATGCAAACGACTAGTGTTAACATTAAAACATATGTCTCTTATTTGTTCAATGGCAATGAACCTACATCATGCAAATTAAATGAATATATCTGATTTGCTTTGTGTTATTCAGCAAGACAATTTCTACATCGCTCTTAATTCATTTACTTTGTTCGTTTTCTTTTAATTGATTAAGGAAAAACAACAATTGGAACTTTTAAACTAATGAGAAAGCGTCATCTAGTGATTTTTGTCCCAATTATCGAAGCTTTTCCAAAATAATATGAAAAACATATTGTATTGCCATACTGAAAATACTGAATAGAGAATACGTAAGTAAGTCTTTCGGTTTTTTCAAAAAGAAATTTATATGTGATTGATAATTTTCTATGCATGGCGTTTCATTCCGATTTTAATTATCAAACATGTGAACGTTTCATTCAAAGCAGAAAAGTCAAAGTCTTGTTTGAAGACAACTTCGTGTGTGACATGTCTGACAGACTACATAGTAAACAGGGATAGATATTTGTTTTTAAATTTATAAAAATGTTAAGGGTTATATTGCAAAATACTACTCTAAAACAAAATATAAATAATGGTCTTAAGAAATTACGTACGTTAACTACTGCATCTCCGCTGGAAGATATACAAAATGGTTTGCAAGTTTTTTTCTTTCGATAATAATGTTGATATCATAAGATTCAAATTGTTTGTACAAATTTAGAGCACAATCATGTGAAAATCACCGGAACTATCATAACAAATGGAAAAACTCTGAATAATGGATTCACGTCAATCATAGTTCGAACCAATGAAAACAATGATAAGTAGTAAGTGATGAACTTTCAAACATAAAAATGAAAATATGAAAAATATTATATTTTATAGTTACAATCATCATGTAAACGTTAAAACTGATGATTTGTTGACGGTGGGTCAACGTATCTATATATTTGGCCATCTTAATTCGAAACCATTTACATTGGATGACGGACGTCTTCGTCAAAAATTAACTATAAAATCCACATACCATCGATTGCGTGGAGAATCCAATACAGCGGACAATACACATGTAAAGGATCAAAACAATGCAAAAATTGTAGGCAAAATTACATCAGACATTCGAATCACCGATAAACATGTTTTACTTACGATAGCATCCAGGCATAATCCAAAGTACATAAATAGATGCAAACTGTTTTTTTTTATATTGATAACTTGATATATTTTACTTCCACAGAGGAGATGGAACAATACCAGGAATAGTTATAACACAATTTCATCGAGTGATTGTCTACGATCCGTCAGTCATTTTGGTAGCCAGAAATCTACAAAAATTTGATCGAATTCTAGTTGAAGGGAAAGTCTGTTATTCGGCATTCAAAAATACCGTTGAGAAGACGCAACACGGAGGTTTTATCACCGCTCAATCTATTCAACGAATTGAACAATAGAATGCAATATCATAATTTAAGTAAAAAATGATCTTTTTACCAAAAACACATTGTGTAAAATGATTGAAGGTTAATAAAAAGTTAGACTCACAGGCTCATTGAGTGCAACGTGACAACGATGAAGTTTCTATTGTATTCTGATTTTTGAAGGTCCTATTTCAAAAAAATCGGACGCAATTCGGACGCTACGAAATGAGGCCTTTAAACATATCTAACCTCAAAAGTGTATATATTAATTTATCGCAATCGTATTCATTCATTTAGAAGAAATATATATAATTTTGTTAAAAGTCATATAAATTCAAATTTGTTTTGCCTTCATTTGAATAATTTTGATTTTGTTTTCAATGGAAAATCTTGACTATCCGTTTTCTGCGCAAAAACGGATTAATTTATGCTTTGATGCCACAGTTATATTTGAAATTAACAGAAACAAAAATAAAATTCCTGAACTTTTATTTCTTTTTCATTAAATTATTTGAGCTCTGATATGCCCGCAGCCCATTTAAAAGCGGGTCGCGGACCACCAATTAAAAATCATTGCTATGGCATTAAGTCTGTGTCTATAGACAAAGCATAAAGTCTATGTAAATAAAAGCATTAAGTCTATACACTTGAGTGTGTATTGCATATGAAGCATTCCGGCAAAAAAGGAGAGCTTATTTATTGACAATAAAACTGCAATCAAAAGTTTTTTTTTATGTTGATAAATATGACCATATTTTCGATGAACGAAAAATATTTACGGTTGTGGTATTATTATCTTTAAGCAAAATATGAGTTATTTTTTCGACAAAACGATTCATATGTTACATAGATCAGTCGAATAAATATAATTGCGTTTATAAGTGTTACTGATAACATACTCAGAACACACACTTAAAAACACACATGCATATATATGTAAAACTGTACACATAATTAAAAACAAAACAACAAAGATAAGGTTGTAGATGTAAACTATATATATGTGTATTTAAAATCTATCGAAACCATGTGTTGTATTCCAAAAATGATAAACACAGCAGCAGTTTGAATAGTCTATCATATAAGTCAGTAGTGCTTTTTCAGAAATAAACAAAATTCAGATGTTTTGCTGCTGCTAAAGGGCATTTTAATCAAAATTATTTACGACATAAATGAATGTCTCCAAATACCAAAAAAAAAAACACGTTAAATAATGTTAAATTTTGAGGAAACCGGTTCAATGTCTTTGTTGCCAAACGGATCTGAGTGTGACAATGACAATAATTTTATTAAGTGCATATTTTTTTGTAAATTTCATGCAACAGCTGGCTCTCAAATAGTTACACAAGTGCCAAATAATTATATATCAAAAGAGGTGTGCACTTTACTCTTATAAATTTATTTTTTTGCTTTGTAATTCCCCACATTTGAATCTTCTAGATGATCTCCTATAGATGTTTTAATCGGTTTTTTTTTTTCAAAACTTCTATAAAATTGAAAATTTTCTCTGGTCATGTTAGGTATTCGATACAATCAGCCAGTACATGATAGCACCAAAAGCCCAACTGCAACGCTGTTTTATGAGCGTGTATGTTCAAAGTGAAATTCAATTCTAAACGTCTTGATTTCATCTATAAAATATTTCGATTTATTTATAGATCGTTGCCTGGGAAAAAGTTTTTAGGTTATCCAATACGAATCGATAATGCATTGTACGCAAGGAATGCCTTCTATTTTAATTTTTGTTTTGTTTTTGCACCTACCACACGAACCATCGTATTTGAGGATATAATTCGAAAGATTAGCGAGTACATGGTAAGAATTGTAACATGAATTCACTACCTAATTGCTAAAAAACTAAAAACGTAGTTTTTTTTATAATTTAGCTATCGCTGGAGATAACCACCAAGATATTGTCACAATCGGAAGATATGGCACAGCTAACCCGTCTTATCAAATTGCTTACACAGATACGGACTGATTTAAATCAACGAAAAATGTGTATGCTTCAGGGTAAATTGCTTTTTGATTCTTTTTCGATTATTTTTGATTATCTGTCGATCATTTTAATTCTATTCTTTTCTTTTGTGATTCTTCCCTAGGTAAGTAAATTTGTTGCTTCACTCAATTGAATAATAAAAAAAATGCATTTGTTCTTTGTTTGAAAAGAGGGCTCCACCATAATTCCATTAAAACTATTTCCATTGTGTATTGTGCCACATTACAAAGAACCACCGGTCGTTAAACCATATTTGGCTGCTATTTTGAAAAGTGAATTTTATAATTATATTGAATCCCAGTGGGATCTGACTACGCTTCGTGTAAGTGCTTCCAATTTTTGACATATTCGTAGTTTGACTCATTTGGTTCACTAAAATTACAGATTTTACCATATATTAATGGATTTAATCATATCGCTCGAATCGCTTCATTGGCTGATGTGGCTCTCGGCTTGACATTGCAGTGCATTCGACATTTAATATTGCTGGGCGTTGCAAGTATAATTCCAGTATTCCAATATTCAAAGTAGCGCATTCGTTTTCTTTATAGAAATTTTAATCAATTTCGTTTTTTAACGAAAAAAAAAACCATTAATTTTTTAAATCCCATTTATAGTATTTATCGTCCAACACCCAAGTTAAGCCAATTAGCGACCTGTAAACAACTGCAGCAGAGATGCATTGAACAGTGTTCAAAGGTACCAGGACCAATTAAAAATTTCTATTCTTTCGATTATTTTTCCATTATTTCTATTATGACAATTGATTAATTTCCACTATTTCCATTCTTTTCTATGTGTCCATTAATCCTAGATACCAGGACCCAAAGCAAAAATTCGTGATGTTTTTCGAATATTTGCTTCAATGGCGCACGGTGCAACATTCGGAGAGCTATGTGTTCGATTTAATCCCTCTGCAAATAATATGAATGAACGAAAAATGGTGCTGTTCGGTTTACTCGAAGGTTTAATTCGACGCGTATCAAAGTATCCCATCACAGTTCAAAGAAATGTCTTCTACGACTATGAACCAATTAGATCGCTCATTCCGAGTACTGGAATGCAATCCAATTATAATTCAGGTAGTCAACCATTGCCTCGATATCAACGTGGAAAAATTAAAAACAGAATAAATGGTGCTATAGCACACGATAGTCTCGACACCACAAAACATCGACTCACATTCGGATCGAATGAGAGAGCACGATTAGTAAACAATGAGTGTCAACATTATTATAATGGACTGAAGTCATTTGATGAAATTTGTACAAAACGAGGAATTAGTTGTCAACAATTAGATGTTCAACTATCAAAAGACCATCATGTTGTAGTTTTATTGTTATAAATATAATAAAAAATGACTGTTTAACAATGGAATGCTGTAGAATTTTCTTTTATTTCATATAGAATTATACTGCTAAAATGTGAGTCTTATTTAATGTAACATTTTATAGCAATTTGTGAAATGGGAAAAGTACACTTAATTAGAACGTGAAATCATAATATTCATCACTGATCCGGCATTTGATAAAACTGTTTCGGCATCAGCCAGTGAGATTTTTGTGAAATCAACACCATCTACATCCAAAATTTTATCCTTTACAATCAATTTGCCATGCGCCGATGAATGCGTTTCTACATCACTTATAAATATTCCCTGTCAAGTGAAATCGAAGTGATTAGCACACAAGAATAAAATGTGTCATTTAAAATTAAAATGAATCTATTACATTTTGAACTGCTTACCTGATTTAAATGTTTTACGATCTTAAAGCCAATATCACTTGAAACTTTCGGAACGCTTAATTGCATCTGGGAGTAGAAAAGAGGATCAACATGAATTTTATAAGATACGATTAATTTAAAATTGAATTGTTGTTATTCAAAACTAACCACAGTTGGATTTTTATGTTCGCCAAAAAGCCAGACACCTGTCTTTCCTTGCAATAGAGAATTGTTTCGAGTTTGATTAATGGTATCGTCGATGTTAACTTCATTGTTGTCTGAATCAACCGCATTGCTTGTCTCTTGCTCTGACTTCAAATTATCATTGCGATCATTTGGCAAATGTAGATCCGTTACTTTAGAATTTTGTTGTTGTTGATAGTTATTACGATAAATATCATAAATGAGCAAATCCTGTTTGGATTTTTTTGTAAATGCCTTGGCAATATGGTACGGAGGAGGTTGTTGCTGTTTTGAAAATAATCATCCATGAGTATATATGTTATTACGTATAATGAAAAAAATAAAATCACGTTGAAATACCTGCGGCTTATCTGTATAAATATTGTTTTGATTGCTTTCAGTTTCAAGTTGTGCATTGTTTGAGTCCATCTTCAATTCGTTTTCTTTATTGATCGAATTAAGATCAATGTATGAACTTGATGAATATGATTGTTGTTGTTGTTGTTGAGCTGCATCGATATTTGATTCGGCAATAACAGATGCATTTCGACGAAGAAAATTTGCATTCACAGAATCATATTGAACTAAATCATTGTTGATATTCGTGTGCCGGTACAAATCAGTATTTGATAGTAATTGTCTTGGAACACTGGTATTTGGTAAAGTCGTATTCACGTTTGGCATACTCATATCAAATTTGTTAATATTATTTGGCACATCATTTTCAATATTGTTTATCATTGGCAGCTTGCTGACGGGATGATCTTGTGAAATGTTTGTTTGTTCTGTCTGCATATTCAGCATATTTTCCGTGTTTATTGTGTTTAACGGTTTTGTATTGCTGTGCGGATCAAGATTATTTGTGTCATTTTCTTGTTGTGCATATCTCTGCGTATGCAATTGCTGATGTTGCATTTTATTGGCAGCAAATTTGGCTTGCATCATTCGCAGTTCTTTTGGGTATGGTGTTGGGCTTCTCATAAGTCTTAGATTTGGTACAATTTCTTGTGGTGGATCCGATGCAAAGCAAATATTTCGTTTGCGTTTTTGTGCAATAGCGGCTAGTGATAGATTTTCTAGGGCAGCAATGTGCATATTTTGTTGAGGTGTATCACAGATTGATGATGGTAAATAGTCATATGTGCTTTCTGGTGCCGTTGACGTTGACGCAGCATTTGTTGACGTCGAATGTGAAGTATAGACTTGTGGCAATAGATAGCATGTTAAATAATAACATTGTGATTCTTTATGGAATTCTTTTTGTAAAGGCATTAGAGGTTGACTCTGATTATCACTTATCCACAGAGCATTGAGCATAGATAAATTTAGAATAGTGACTGGTAAATTGCTTAAAAAATTGTTTACAATGTTCAAAACGCGTAACTGTGTTAAACGACCAATATCCACCGGAATCTTAGTCAGTTTATTTCCCCTCGCACTCAATATCGTTAAGTTGGAACAACTACAGATCTCATTCGGTAACGATCGTAGTAAATTTTCGTCAGCTAAAATCAATTAAAATATTACAACATTTTATATGCAATTTGCTGATTTTAAACAATTTTCGTTTACCTGTTAGAAATCTTAGCCGTCGCAAAAGTCCAATTGTGCTTGGCAATTTAAATAAATCATTATGACTAACCATCAGTTCTTCCAAGCTCTCCATCTCACATATTGAATCGGGCAATTCTTGCAATTGATTTTCATCAACCTTTAAAACAATCAAAGATTTCATCATTCCAATGGAAAATGGCAACTCTTCTATTTCGTTGGCTGATAAACACATTTCTTGGCATCGTTGCCAGTTGCCAATCTCAGTCGGTAAATGTTGGATTAAATTGTTGCTAGCATCGAAGTGAACAAGTTCCTTCAAATTTGACACATTACAATTGAAGTGTCGTATCCGATTTCCATCAACCTAAAAAGAGCCCATCGATAATGCATTCAATGCATTACATTGTACAAAAAAATAATGAAAATCATACCCATAGTTCAGTTAATGCTGTTAATGATCCAATTACTTCAGGCAATTCGGTAAATTCATTGTTGCCAATATCTAGCCGCTCTAAATGTTGCAATCGATTCATGGACTTGGGCAACGTTATCAGATTATTATCACGCAATTCCAATATACGTAAAGAGGTAAGACGACCAAAATTTGCTGGTAAATATTCTAGAATTGTATCATTTAAATATAGTTCTTGTAGCGCAAATAAACTGGTTATTGCATCTGGAAGCTTTTCTAAACTGTTAAGACTTAAATCCAAATGTGTTAACGATTTGCACGCGACTATTGAATCGGTAAGATGATTCAGGGCTAAAATCAGACGAAATAAAATAAAATGATTAAATTTTCAATGAAAAAAATCTACATTTATAAAAATATATTACACTGAGAACTGTTTTTTTTTTTCTTTTTTTTTCAATTTGTATACGTGTATAATCTTGTTTGAATCGATGTCACTAAATTGTTTTATATTTATAATTTTTGAATAACTTACAATTTCGCGCTAGATTGATTTTTCCTAAGTTGGTCAGTGAGGAAAGTGCTGTCGGAATCGAACTGAGGTCGTTATCACTCAAATCTAACACTTTGAGTCCATGGCACAAAAACAATTGTCTCGGTAATTCTGTGATCTTTGAACGGAAATTTAATGGTATATAAATCAATTAGCATAAAAAATCATGTATTATTATTTATGTATTAGTAAAACTAACCCTATTCGAAGATAGATATAATTCTTCCAATGTTCTTTCGTATTGAAACACATCAGCTGGTACATCATGTAATGAATGATGTGCATAATCTAAAACGATTATGTCGTTGCAATTTGTTTGTGTGGTCTTGCTAGCGCAATTTAAACATGTCCACCAAGGCATATTTCTGTTGTTTGTCAGTAAATCACAATTTTTGTTCAAAAAAATGTTTAGTTGTTTGCGACGATGTCTATTATATTTTGAATTTTGGTCAATTTTAAGTTCGACAATTGCACAGTACATAACAAATTAAGTTTATCCATTATGAAAACCGTCCAACAAAGGTATCAATACAATAGTATCATGCGATTCAATGATATAGTGTGATTGGAAAGTCAAACTGGAAGTCTCCCGTAATTCAACTGTAATTAATAAAAATGAAACATACATGTATACACAATGAACACAATAATAAAGTTATCAAATCGTATAAAAATAACTGCGTTTTAAAAAAAAAAGCTTCAATAATTATGCTTTACTCTCAACTATGAATTCACACATCATACACTCACAGTCTATTGTTGGGTAAAATAAAAACAAAAACAGAAAAGAAAAATTGTAATACTATATTGTGTGCTATGTGCATTCGACTAACGGAAAAAGTGCGATAAATAATTGAGACATTGCTCTGCTATCTTAAAAAAAATATATATGGGTGGATTTTTATGAATATAAATAAAAATCGTATTGCACTATTAAATTGAACATGATCCATTCCATTGTTTGACTACATTCTTAATCTGATATTGAAGGTATTGAACATTTTAAATTTGTTCAAACTTTCAAATGTAAATTGTTTACTAATAAAAAACAAATAAAAGAGTTGTGCGTGTTTTACGTGACTCACCAAGTTCAATGAATAGATGTAACCAGGAGGAATTCACACTCAACTAATACAATATATATTTTTTTAGATATTACAATTCTTTCTCCCTCATAAAACATACACACACGCTCTGTATTCACAATATAGTCTTGCGGTCAACAGTCTATTGGAAAAATTTTTGGCGGTAAAAGTCATATCTCAAAATTGGTTATTGATCATATGTGTTTTATCATATTATTTTAAACTTCGAATTTTCTAATATTAGAAAATGTTTTCTTTTGATAATTGTTCAATTGACAGATGTGCTGCACAGAATTCCACTATTATTTACATTAAATTGAAATGCCGTTTACAATTTAATTAAAAATAAAAATAAACAGTCAATGTTTTCGAATAATTTTACGTTGAATATGTCATTATTATTAATGTCAACAATACACAATTGAAATATTTTAATCGGACACATCGATGATATGTGTGTAATAAACTTCTAGTTTACTATTTTAAACATTGTTTGCAAACCATTTTTAGCTTTGTATATACAAAATTCTCCAGTTTCGTTAGCACATCAATAAATGTATTAGTTCTTTTATCTTATTTATATATATATATAGATAAAACTCATAGTTTTCGCTAGCAGAATCTATTTGTTTCTATGTTTCACATTTTTTGTCTTTTTCTCACCACAACAGTCATAGCAAACGACTTAATAGTGTGTGTGCGTGAATAAGCATGTATAGCACTTACCGGACTATTTGTCAAACAAAACAATCCGATTTGTATTACATGTCAGAGGTTCAGTCAACACAATGAAATTAGGGTATGTTCTCGAACATGTTGAAGATATGAATTTGAAACCAGTAAAGCTAAATAAATAAAACAAAATCCATAATAGGGATGAAAATGTTTCATGTTTTGTATCTTTTTAACTATTGTTTTTGTGTAGTCTCTCAGTGTGAATTCAAAAGAGAGAAACCAGATTTGTAGATATCAATTAGGTCAACGTCAAAATGTTTTGATGGTAGTTTATTTAAATTCGAATAGATGTCGCTAGATATATTTTCCGATTTAGAATTCAGTTGGAATCTCAATTAGAAACAGTGTCATTTTTAGTCTTATACTATGGAACAAATATTAAAACTGCAAAAAAATAAAATAAAGGGAAACCGTATCAACTCAAAATTTTATGTTTTTGGACTTCATCAAGCTTCCTTTTGAGCTAGTAATGCCTTTTTGCCTGTTGTTAGATAATGTGAGTATTTTAGCGGATTTTTTAAGGAAGTTCTATATGGTAAATATTAAGTCTAATCTCATTGATAGACAATTTAAATTGAATTAAATCTTATGAATAATTTTCGGAACTATTTTCGAAATCATTCTACGCCGAATGTTTATCAACCTATCATTGTTATTGATATCCATTAAACACGAGAGATCGAAGCGAGCGACTAAATTTATTTGATTCTCATTTAATCACATCATTTCATTTTAATGAAACACGCATTTATTCGATTTTGTGTATATTTTCAATTTGTCAACAATGTTAGGAGATAAATTATATTTTGAAATAAATGCGGAAAGATATTCTAAAAAAATTTGAAGATTTTATTCTTCCTTTGGTTTGATCCAAAAGGACCGAGTAAAAAAGTGCCCCTCGGTAATTTTTCAAAAACCCGATAGGCAGCGTAGATGTAGAAATATCCTAGGATATTCCCTTCACAATCATAGAAAATGAAGAGATGATTTTAATTTTTCGATTAAAAAAAATCATCCGAAAATATTCTTTTAATTTGCACAAAAAAAATTATTTTATTATTTGTGTTCAAAAATAACGATAATTTTAAATATTTAGGTTGTTGAAATAAATTATAACATAACACCACACAAAATAATAATTTATTTACATGCTCATTGTTGACAATCCTTAGCACAAATACAATAACAGTGCGAAGCGCTCACTCACAAAAATTCATGTGATGACATAAACCAAAGTGAAACGCGCATGTATTTGTGCGAACAACATCGTCTTCATTGAGTCACATGATCAAAATTCTTTACGTTGATTCGTTCGCTTATGAGCATCGTGTACGATCATATGACTCAATGAAGACGATGTTGTTCGCACAAATACATGCGCGTTTCACTTTGGTTTATGTCATCCGAGTATCAGTTGCGTTGTATATTGACAATGTATTTTAACGCGACTCGATTTAAGAAGCGCCATCTCTTTCACGCCAGGTTCTCATATATTTTTTTCTTGCAAATATTTTTTTCTTGCAAAATTGTATAAATTGAATAAGTTTTGCAATAATAATAACGAAAATAATCAATAGAATTTATAATAAATAAAAAAAATAGAAAAAACACACAAATATTTTATATTATATGATTCACCAGAATAGCTTCACTTCGTGTTGTTTACGTTGTTTCTTTTGACAGATATCAATGTTTGACAAATACATATTTTCTCCACGTAACCATCTCTACATGGTCTACAAGGCAAAGCTACATATCATATAACAATGAGCATGTAAATAAATTGTTATTTTGTGTGGTGTTACGTTATAATTTATTTCAATAACCTAAATATTTAAAATTATCGTTATTTTTGAACACAAATAATAAAATAATTTTTTTGTGCAAATTAAAAGAATATTTTCGGATGATTTTTTTAAATCAACAATTTAATATAAACAGATAGACAGCGACATCTATACGAAATCAACAATTTAATTTCCTCGTAATGTTTTTGAAGAAAATGCACGTTGACATATCACACATTGACAGCTGTGTGACATAAAAGGGGCACAAATCCCAGGGATATTTTATACGCTCCTTTTACTTTGGTGAATGTGTGATGGTCGCCAAAAGTAAAACCAAGCT